TCTATCTATCTATCTATCTATCTATCTATCTATCTATCTATCTATCTGTCTGTCTATCCATGTACGATTTAGTTCTTCCTTTGATATAGTCAATAGGAAAGGAATCTGACAGCAGATATTGAGCAGCAGGATTTCATCATTTCCAAGTTTCAGGTGGTGGAGTCAGAAAAGAGTCCATGTGACACCAGGCCAGACAGATTGGCTACCACTTGGCCTTTAAGTGACAAATTTCCGATGGAGCTGGATGATCCCATCTCAGAGTGTGTCATATCCATTTACCAAAGTAACTACATTTCATGCACTCTCTCTGCTCACACACGTGCATGACTGCTGCTCTCTGCATATCTAGTTAGTAGTCTTTTAAAACTGCCCCAGGCTGAAAGCGATGGATTTGATTAAGTCGTTTTATTAGGTTTTCCTAATGAGTGCAGTTGAGCTGCTGTGATTCGATTTTGCTGTCTTCACCAAACCGCATTAACATAGGAGCAGGATGCCAAGATGGTTTAAGGTGCTATTTATACCTTTCTGTATCCATTTTTTCCCCCAGGCTCAGTGGTTTAAGCATGAACATAAAGTTTTCATGATTTTTCAAATTAATGTCTTTATTTATTTTCTTTACTTTCATTAAGTTTGCATTATTTTTGCATTGTATAACTTCACATTGGTTCTACAGTTCTGCTGTACAAAACTTTGCAACTCAGTATGGATTCTAAGTTTAACGTAAGAAGCTCTGATTAGTTTTTTTTATTATTAATTAAGATTTATTTAACCAGGAAGGCCTCATTGAGAAAAAGGATATATTTTTTCAAGTGTCCTGGCCAAGATGGGCACCAGCACATTAACCAAACTCTAACTCAAAATTTAGAAACAGACGGATAGTAATTCACAAATATATTAAAGTTTAAGCTTTCAACAGACAAATTTAGTTTAAATTGCCCAAGAGATAAGAATTATGTGCATCAGTTGAAACATCTACAGTTATATTTGATCACCTCCAATGGGCTCAATATCCTCTAAAAGAGGCCGGTGAAACCAGATCTTTTAGTTTGAGGTCGTTTGGCACTCTGAGGAAATGGAGCTGTAACCCTGAGTATACAAGTTTTTCATAAGTTTAAAAAAATATTTTTTTTCTAAAATTCTAAAGACTTGCAATTATTTTAGAGGCTTTGCAGCTTGTTGAAACAGCGCCTATAAACCTACAGTAAATGGAAGTTTATTAGAAGTCTTCTTTCTTAACGGTTTACTTCCACCAGCTTTAAAAACCAGCAAGGCCAAGAAACATTTAATGTCCCTCAATTAATTCCTGCTAAATGTGAACACTGAATCATTATAACTGATTAACAGCAGACAATTTTTCTATCTTGCTGTGGAACACAAAGTTCAAATTTTTAATCAATGAGGTTGGAAAAGTAGCAGGAAGTTCAGCTGAAATGATGGCAATTCGAACTCACAGGAAATTATCTTAGAACATAATTTCCTACTGAACAGGACCCATAACCTTGTCAGCATGAAACCATGAAATAATATGCAAGCATACCGTAATTATGTATACCTTCAGGATTGTGATAAGTTGCACAGAAGAAATTGTACTACATCTACCTGTAAAAAGTATTTTACTTAAACATTTTACTTAAATCGGAGTCGAATTGACTCAGCAGGTCCCACCCCCTTTTCTCCCTCGTTATTTAAGGACTAATTCTATGTTTTCAATGCAAGGAAAGGGGTTTTAAAACTGATCCAAACAAAACAATATAAGGAAGAGCCATGATCCCGTTGAGCTGTGATGTGAAAAGGACTTTTATTCAACAGAAAGCGAGCTGCATCAGCCACAACATTTTCCAAGATGGTGATGGTGCGCAGCAAAAATAGTCCAGAACAGTAAAAGGGCATGACTCTTCAGACAACACAGAACGATGTGAATAAAAACCTTTATTACTTATTCTGATTCCAGCCAAATGACGGGACTCAGGTTTTTCCTGTCATACTGTTAACAGGAAAACTCTCCAACCACCTGTTGCGTTTGCTTTAAAGTGGGCTTCTGCATAATTGGAAACAAATCTGCGTTATAGTTCAAATTTAACACGGTCTTAGAGGGCGAATAAGTTAGATATCCTAAATTGAAACACGGTTTTTCTTGAGACCCTTTTACATCTGTGTCCACAAACACTTGTGTCCAAGTGTCCGCTGAGGCTCCACCAACTCCTCCCACTCGGCCCTGTCATCACTACAGGAGAAACATCCTCCTCTCTGAGGAGCCGGTCCTCTGGCTGACTTTTCACAGTCCGGTGCCCCGACAGGACTCAGCGAGCATGGCCGGCAGTCTGACCCAGCACGGCTCCCCGAACCCCGGCTACAGCGCCAACAGCGCGGTCACCGTCCCGGTCATCACGCAGACGGACTCCAGGGACAAGTGGAGCAAAAAGATGGATTTCCTCTTGTCTGTCATTGGTTTTGCGGTGGATTTGGGGAATGTTTGGAGGTTTCCTTACATATGTTATCAAAACGGTGGCGGTAAGTAGTCCAGTTATTGAAAACCAGCTCATCCATAGCACCTTTATGACTTGGTTTTTCTGTGTAACCTTAAGTATTAGGTGTTGTTAAACATATTTAGGCTCATTTACATAACTGAACAATGTCAGAGATTATGAAAGGAGCTATCAAAAGTAACTGTCCATGGTCCTGAAAGCTGCACACGTTTAATTCTACCCCCAAAAAAGTTTTACGCATTCCCAGAGATTTAAGTTTGATCTCTGATGTTTGGATGAGGAAATATTTAGAATCGCGTCTTATTTTTTCTCTGGGAAAGTAAATGCTTACTATATATTTAGTGTAGACTAAATCAGTTCGCAAACAAAGTTGGAATTAGTTCATCATTAACGTGATACTTTCTTATAAGAAATTAAAGGTTGTTAAACTGTGAGGTAAATGAACCCTTCTGTGTGTTGTTTGGAGACACACTGAAGGGTTCATTTACTTTATGAGGCTAAATGTAGAAGACATTATCTTGAGATAATTAGAAAAACCCAATCATACATGGAAAGAGGCTATATGAAGAAGATGATAAGGGCAATAAATATAGGGCTAAACATTTTCAAGTAATTCAGAAAGGTGTGTCAGCTTTCACTGAGATCAAACCAGCCCCTGAGATAGATTTTAGAGAATTGGCTTTTTGCATGGAATAAAACATATATGAGTAAAGAAACAGACAAATAAATGGATTAATTTATCAGCGTCAGTTGCACCTACAGTCACCGTGTCTTTCCTGAACCAGCGCTACATAACACGCTGTGTTCATGCATCTCTGTGCAGGTGCGTTTCTGATTCCCTACATTTTGATGGCCATCTTTGGCGGCGTGCCTCTCTTTTACATGGAGCTGGCACTGGGGCAGTTCCACAGAACCGGAGCCATATCCATATGGAAACACATTTGCCCCATTTTCAAAGGTAAGGCCTAAAACTGAACTACTGTCATCATGTCAGTCTTCTGATTCAAATTTGTCCTAAAGTAATCTGAGGGAAGCCAGTTACAAGTATAGCCATTTAACATTAGCCTTCTTTTTTTTCCAGGTATAGGATATGCTATATGTGTCATCGCTCTGTATGTGTCCTTTTACTACAACACCATCATCGCCTGGGCCCTCTTCTACTTCTACTCCTCGTTCTCCACCATCCTGCCTTGGACAAACTGTGACAACGTGTGGAACACCCCCGACTGCACCAACTATTTTGGCATGGACAACGTCACCTGGACAAATTCCTCCAGGTCTCCGGCAGAGGAATTTTACACGTAAGTGCATGTAAGTGTGAGTAACAGAACCAGATATACAAAAAGATTTTGTTTTTTTTAGTTTTTTTAGTTTAGTGTGCTCAGATCTTGCCAGCTGGTGACTCTGTAAAATAACCTTTAGCTTTGTGTGGTGACAGTTTGATGATGCATGTGTTTAATTTCAACAGGAGAAACGTTCTTGAGATCCACAAGGCTTCAGGACTGAGGGACGTCGGCGGCGTGCGCTGGCAGCTGATGCTCTGCCTTTTTCTCATTTTCACCATTGTTTACTTCAGCCTCTGGAAGGGAGTGAAGACCTCAGGGAAGGTAGCATCTGACAATAATTTGATAGATGATCATACATCTTCATTGCTTTCACCGCATATTTGCTCTATTTTACCCCCCCCCCATCTCCCTGATTCCCCTTTAAAACGAATGACTTTCTCCTGCCTTAGGTGGTGTGGGTGACCGCCACCTTGCCATACATTGTGCTTTTCATCCTGCTCATTCGTGGGGCCACGCTGCCAGGAGCGTGGAGAGGCGTTGTGTTTTACCTAAAGCCCCAGTGGGATAAACTGTTGGAGACCAGTGTGAGTTGTGATGAGATTACTTCATGTGCAGCCAGAAGAGTATAGTGCTTCATAAGCTTCATGATTCATCCATTATTTAAGTCATTTGTCAAATACTTGGAATCATGCAAATAATGCATCTAAAAACATTTGAATGGCAAATCATTTATATGAAAAGTATGGAATAAAATATATAAAGACAGAATGAAAATACAAAACTTATACAGAGAGCCTGTGAGTTTTTCGTGACAAACAATCAGTGTTAAATAACAAAAACAGAGTTTCTCATTTTTTAGTAAAACCTCTTTTTTTCATATTTTTTATTCAGCATTTCTTTTTTAAATTTGTATAAATGCATAAAACTGAGTTAACCAGCTCTTATTTTATAAGTCCACATGCTCCAGCAAGTTCTGCCTATGAGAATCTGCCAATATTTCTCTTAGATTCTCACCTTCATCCCCGCTCCCCATTGTTGTTTGCGAAACATGTGTCAGAGCTTTGGTTGGAAGAGAGAATATGAATGAGATGAAATGAGATGCATAAATAAGCCACAGAGCAGGATAATAAGATGCATAATTGGTTTAGATTTTCTGCCCATTAACAAAGGCCTCCCTTTCTGTGTCACTCCCTGATAGCCAGTGCTGTGCTCTTCTTTTTAATGCCGAATGCAGCCTCCCCTTCAGATCTCCCTGCACACAGCTGGGTGGCGACTAGGCCTCCACACTACTTTACACAACATCTGTCTGTCAAAACGTTGCGTGATGTGATCACAGACAATAAGAATAAGAATGTTTGATGATGTTAAAAAGCTGAAATGCCTGGTGGAGACTTTTGTGGTACATCTTCCTGCTCTAAAACACTCAGAACAATCCATTATGTCCTTGGTTGTGTGAAGCTGGAGGCTCGTGGAGTGAAACGTCTTTCTGTCTGTTTGTCCTCCAGGTGTGGGTGGATGCTGCTGCTCAGATATTCTTCTCCCTGGGGCCTGGCTTTGGGGTCCTCCTGGCTCTCTCCAGCTACAACCCTTTCACTAATAACTGCTATCGGTACGGTCGCCGAAAGTCTGATAACTAATGGAACTCTGATTTATATGAACCACTGTGCTGTTCACAGCTTGATAAAAGAAAAGTAGATGGTCAGAGTACAAATACATTTTTTCTTTTTTAGTTTATAGTATTTGATACTTTCTATTGTAAATCTCTTTAAAAACAACAAGCTTCATTGTTCCCATTTTTCTCATAGAGAGCACAAATCTGTTGGTTTTTTATTAAATCTTTCTTATGATGGATAGGTTTCTACTAGGTTAAATGTAAATTTAAATCCAACGAAACACAGTATGAATATTAATTCTTATTCCCTAATGATATTTTTTGAGGGTGCATGACTATGTCAGACAACACATTGCCAAGAAAAGTCTCAGAATGAAAGCTAAAAGTAACATCTGTATCAACCCAACGTCCCAGATGTGACAAATGATTTCCAGTGCTAAAAGAACGTTGTCCATGTATGATGTTAAGTTAGGCAAAAAAAAGAGAATTGAATTCAGAACAAGCCCCATAAATTAGACTAATCACTCTGCATATCCTTGAGCTGCGTTTAATTTACTCCCCAACAGAGACGCCATCGTGACTAGTCTAGTAAACTGTCTGACCAGCTTCATTTCGGGATTCGTCATCTTCACGGTGCTCGGCTACATGGCAGAGATGAGGCAGGTAGAGGTTGAGGATGTAGCCAGGGACAAAGGTCAGCAAATGAGTCAAATAAAGTCAGTGTCCTGTCTCACTAAAGTAAAAAAACTGAATGATTCTCCTAAATTTGCTGTTGTTTTTCCAGGACCAAGTCTCCTCTTCATCACGTACCCAGAGGCCATTGCAAACATGATGGGCTCTACGTTTTTTGCCATCATCTTTTTTGTGATGATGATTACACTGGGGCTCGACAGCACGGTAGTTTATCAAGTCACATTTCTACTTTCTTAAATATGCATATATGTTCACAGTTGACTCAGAATTTTACCTAAACCATAAAATTACAGACCAAGTGAAGTTAATGCATTCTAAACTGAACGTGGCTGTTTTCTGACCACTGGGTCTTTATGCTTTAGTTTGGGGGGCTGGAGGCCATCATCACCGCTGTGCTGGATGAATACCCAGATGTTCTCTCACAAAGACGTGAACTGTTTGTGCTGGCCCTGGTGGTGATCTGTTTTTTGGGCTCGCTAAGCACCCTCACTAACGTAAGCGTTTTTGTATTTGTATCAGACTAATTGACCCAGAAAAGATAGGCCACTTACAGCACATTATCTTTAAAAATGTTCTGTTTTATGTTGCCATGTACTGTAACAGTGATGTTTGTCATCTCCTGCTTGAATGAGGGCAGGGTGGTGCCTATGTTGTGAAGCTGCTGGAGGAATTTGGTGTGGGATGCTCCATAATTGCAGTGGGTTTTCTCGAGGCCATCGCAGTTTCCTGGTTCTATGGTACAAGCATGGTTTTTCTCGACTGCCTTTTTGTTCTTTTCAACATTTATTTGAAGATAAACAGCCTTCTCGTTGCTGATATGTTCTCAGTTTGTGCAACGTCCAGTAATACATTGTGCTATTTCTGCTGCTTTCAGGTATCAAAAGGTTCAGCAATGACATTCAGGCAATGCTTGGAAAAGCCCCGGGATTATTCTGGAGGGTGTGCTGGGTCGCTATTAGCCCGGCATTTCTGGCGGTAAGAGAAGAAAAGATTCATTGATCTTAATTTACAGTTAATCCTCAAATACTTACTTATGTAAGCCCAGTAAACAGATAAGCACCCTCTGTCTATGTAATCCACAGATCAATAGGCCATATGAGATAAGAATTATTGGCAATTAGTTGTTGTTGTAGGATCAATTGAAACAATTTTGTCCTTTCAAAGCTGTTGAAAACAAAGAGGTCATGACCCATGCATAAAATATTCCTAATGAAATGGATGCATTGCAAAAAACTAGAGCATATGTCACTATTCTATTTCTGAGCCATAGCTGACATAAAGCCTGTTGAAGAATTGAAAATGTTTATTTGAGGTGGAGTTTCTCTATTGGTTGTGCATAGAGTGTTTAATATAGCAGTAACCATGTCTCTTTATGCATTTTGTACTACGATATTATTGTGTCTTTATGTGTGGGATTGTTGTGGCTGAATAACCCTTCTTTAATATTCTTTATGTAACATATATGGAAATCCATGCTTTTCAGGTTTAGGCTAATGTTTCCTAAATCTGCTCAGTATATTATAGTGAGCTCCCTGCTGAAAGCGCCATCCCTCACGCTGTTTGATTATAAGTACCCGGACTGGAGCATCACAGTGGGGTACATCATCGGCCTCTCCTCCTTCATGTGGATCCCCATCTACATGGTCTACAAACTCGTGTGGACCCCTGGCTCTCTAAAACAGGTCTGTGAATAGAAAGAGGAGGAAGGAAACCTTGAAAACATGTATTTTATTTTGAACCAATCCCCTTTTTTCCTTTTCACAGAGGCTGGCAGTGTGTCTGAGACCAGAGCGGACCCTCCCAGAAATCCATGCCGATAGCCTCAACCTGCCTACTGTTCCCCAGAGAGACACAAATTCCTCTGTGTGCTTGTAAATGATTTTTTCAACCACAGTCTGAAGTTATATGTGATTGAACCTGAACGCGACCTGACATCATGACTTATTGATGATGCCAGTTAACTCTCACTGCATATGTCCACTCTGTGAAAAGTTAAATGCTGCTACATTTGTAATTCCAAGACTGAGATAGCAATATACAAACTGTTGCTCCGTGTGTGATTCAGTCCTGCATTATCAGGATAGTTTATAGCTTTCTCATGCTGCCATGTTTAAGATTGACTCTTGTAGTTGTTGAGGTCAGTGGTACGTTCAGTGATCTGTCTTAATTCATTTGACACAATGCCAAGGACAATAACACATGTATTTTTTATTGGACATCCACACATCATGTCTTCATCATGGGAACATCTTAAGTTTCATCCGCTTTGTGAACGACCCTCTGGAGGCAATAGGGGTGCCAGCTTTCAAGAAGAGGTTTTCTTGGTTTTTCATTTTAAGAAATTAAAAAACTAATCAGACAAGCCGTTCGTTTTACTGCACTTAGTTACAAATAGAAAAGAAAATTTGAGACAGTCATAATAAAAACAAAATAGTTTTTTTCCTTTACAAGAAATAGTTGAGGCATGTATAAACAGCTAAAAAGTGTATTTTGACTAGAATCATGGTGTATTATTTCACAAATGAAGAGTATATTGTGTATTTTAATAATAATTTTCACAACAAATTTAACTGATTCTTGTGGATTCTCTTTGTGCTTAATTTTAGCTCTTAAAATTCAAGATGTGATCCCTTCTTACAGCATTAGTCAACTCCAGTTAGATTTTTTACGCCTTAATCTGGATAAATGTACAGAGATGCTAATGGTGGTATAAATATTGTGCCTCTCCAGATATTGTTTTCTCTGAAACTGAAGACTGTTCAGATTTTTCTGCAGATGCTCTTTGTTTTAGTCACAAGTGTTAACTTACCTAAAATGCTTAAGTCCAAATATAATGTGATGATTGTTGTTTCCTCCTTAATATAGCCTCTCGAGAGATGTGTATAAAGTGAATTATAGTTTAAATTCCGTCGTTAGTGTGTGTGTTTCCTTTCATTCAGCATCTTGGCAGTTAGATTCCAGTATTTATGTAAAAACGGCCATTGTTATCTTAAATGTAAATGTTGAGGAGATGTGTTCTTGTACATCTCCACATGGGGATCTTCATGTCTTTGTGACAGCTGTTCACCTCCATTAGATATTCTAATTAACAAGCTAATTTGCAATATCCAGAATCCATCAACATACAAAGGAAGAGAGCAGCCTAAACCCTCAAACCCTCGCCCCAAAACCCTCATGCAGACGTGCATCATCACATGAATGCTATGGCCCGGCACATTTTTACCCATTTAACCGAAATGTATATGATCCAGGTTCAATCCCTTCATGGTGACAGGTACGCACATCTACAGAGTAGAAAATGGTTCAGAACATATGATTCGCCACTGAGCTGCTGCTGGATGGTAGACGTGCAGATCAAAGCCCTTTTGTATCAGTGACTGCCATTGAAGTAGGGAACATGCATACACAGGAAACACATAAAAGAGAGACTGATAAATACGGTGGTTTCTTCTCCGGCAGACGCTGGCAACTCAACGGAGGTGTATGAGAAAGGTGACAAATATTTATCAGAGAAAAAAAAGAATCACAGTATTTATACTGTTTATTTAATCGGTTAAAACATTTTCCAAAATTTGTTTTATTCTGTTATCAGAAGAAAATAGGAACACCTTAGAATTTTGTAAATGAATCTGTCAAAGGGCCTTGAAATGAGACAGAATCAGTTTATTCTGAAATACATGACAATGCAGTGTGAAACTGTTCCTGGCTCTGACTTCTGATGTCTGAAACAAATATAAACAAAAATAAAAGGCTGCAGGATGAGCCCAGTGAGGAAAGTCCCCTTACACTCCACTTAAGTTGAACACATAAGATTTTAAATGGGGCACGTGAAGCTGTAAAACTGGTTGATATTAACCTCTGGGATTACAGTTCATAATCTTTTCTCATTGGACCTTTTTTGATATGAATACTTTGTCTGTACACAAATACTTCCACATTATTAACCTCTGATTCGCCATTCCCGGAGAGTGTTTTCACTTGATTTTGTGAAAAGAGTCGCAGTTATTTGCCTCAGATAAAACAAGAAAAGAGGAGGCCAAATGAGTTGAATTACATTCAAATAAACATTTCTAACTGAATAATTCCAATCACTGCTGTGTTAATATATCTAATTTATCTAACAGCAATAAGTTGCATCTAAGCAACAAGATCATAAGAAAACATGGCAACTAACAGATGTTTCTTCTCTTTTTTACCTTGATGACCCTGTCAGAGGCACCAATTTGCCTCATCCAGTCACGGCAGATTAAATTAAGTTTAATCTGTGCAAATATTTGTATGTATTAAATTAAAACCGAACCTCTTACTTTGTGCATTAATCAAATGCTCTCTTGTTACAGTAGATTCCTCAAGGAAGCCTCCAATTTGAATTTTCAGGCTGCCGTGAGTGACATTTCCTGATGTTCATTAGCCTCGTCTGCCGTTTAAGCAGCTGTTTGTAGTGGAGTGCACTCTTCTTCAGAGGATGAAGATAAAGGCCATATACATCAGTCATGCAGCAAAAATGCGTGATATTACCTTAAGGAGTCTGACCTTTCTATCTTTTACTCGATGCATAGAATGTGTTGGAGCTTTATGGTTACCAGTGAGAGAGATTTGCACTCTTGTATTTCTGCAGCCGAACCAGCAGGAAACTCCAGCAGTCAGAGCTGGAACCTGATCCTGCCGTTAGCTCACCAGGGACTGAGCTGGCGTCACCGAACAATAAATAAATCAAAAGTACATTCAACAAGCCTAATACAGGAAAAAAACACTAGCAAAGATGTCCTTCATTACCACAATTAAACCTCTGGTGTTGTGTAAACGGTCTTTATCTATTTATCCTTGTATTTACTGAAAAATCATGGAATTACTTTGAGTTCATGGTTTGACAGAAATATAGTCATTTTGGAATATTGACCATAAGCCATAAAACAATCAAAATATTATGCAAAAATAGTCATAGGTTGATTACAAAGTTAAAACTAATGACTTTCAGAGAACTACATTTCTGACACGTTTGAAGAAAGAACCCAAACCATTCTCTTCATCTTCCTTTTATCAGAATGAAAACAAGGTAACGACCAGCCGTCGCAAACATGAACAGTGAGTGGTCAAACAAAAAAAGTAATGCTGGCACACTTTTTACTATTTTGATCCTAAGTTAAAGAAATGAGAAAGTAAGCGTTTCTAAATTCGCTTGAATGACCAGTTGCTGCACCTGTCAGAGTCCCACATTCTGGCGGCTTTAGGACCCTGTCACAGCGGAAGAAGAACCGCCTCTCCCTCTCAGCATCCTCCTCATCCTCTTCTTCCATCATCCATCCTCCGCCGCTATGATGCTGCTTCTCTTCCCACAGGCTCTAATAATGTGCTGCGGTGTGTTGGTGAGCGCTCAGCATCCCGACTCCAGACTGACCGAGCGGCCCTATGTGGTCCTGCTGAAGCAGAATCTAGGTGAGACTGGCGTTTGGCTGGAGACGGGAGCGAGGCCTGGCCTCAGCCTGCTGAGGCTCTGCAGGCTGAGGCTCTGAGTGAGCGACCTGCCGAAAGCATGAGAGTTACCTGCTCACTGAGCTGTGATTGGCTGTGCTTTTGCAGTCACTCTGGGGAGCGTGCTCGCCGTCCTGCTGCTGCTGATGGTCATCATGGCTGTCTGCGTCTACAAGCCGCTGTCTCGACGCTGAGAGAAGCAGCAAAACCCGCTGCTTTCTGTCCCCCCCGGGGAAAAAGCACACCCGCAGCCCGGATCGCTCTGGAGGGAAACGGGGATCTGCCACCAGGCCAACGAGCAAAAAACAAACAAACCTTTGTACAGGGGTACTATAATTAGGTTTTATTTTTCTTCTTTTTTTCTTCTCTTTATATAAAGTAGGTCTATTGCACTGACCAAGGTTCAAAAGCCTGTGCACGTGCTCAGCAAAACATTGTTTTGTGATCTTGGAAAATGAATGAAACTGAAACAAATTAAGTGTCAAGTCAAGCACATACAGTATAATATGAGCAAATATGAGCTTTCTCCCCCGATGTGAAATCAGGGCTTGACTTTTATGGGAACTCTAAACGAATAGTGTGACACTTTGTGGAAAAACACCTGGTGAAAGCTGGATTGTCTGCTTTCTGTAAGGTAGAAAGAGGTCGTCAGACAATCAGAAGATCTATAGGCTAAATGAAGCTTCTTCTTTTAGAGACAACAGGGGACTTTCATTCCAGTTTCAGTATTGGATGACGTTAGGAACTAAAACAAGAGGATTTGAGTTCCTGGTGTGTGTGTGTATAGTCTCTATAACGCTTCTCAGGGGTGGAAACAAAGCCTCACAGCTGGGACTGGCACAGCTAAGCCATACCAGTATTTCATGGCTGATGACTGGAAGTGGTCCTGTCATTTGAGAAAAAACAAGTTAGAGTTACAGCAGTGTATCAGACTGCCAGTTAAACACAGAGGGAATATTCCAGCCTTTGGATGAGGCAATCACTTACCTGTGTAGTTGGACACACTGACTAAACAGAAATACATTTTTTCTTGGGCAACATTTCATGCCGTTGCAGAACAATGAGCGTGAACACAGTTTAAAGTTATTAAAGAACTACTTGAAAAGAAAAGAGACAATGGATATTCCACTGGTCATGTTGGTTCTTTGAATGTTTGCAAAGCATCATTTAGCTGAATACCAAAAGGTTTTTCAGGTCACAACGCATCCTGGACACATAACATGGGTTAACTGGCTCTGCACACGAGGTCTCAGAGACTGGCGTGTGTTTTCATATGAGAAGTTCATTTAGAGACTGGGTTGATAAAACACTTAAAAAGTTGTTTTTACTTTGTTTGTTAAAGAACTTTCTCTGCTTGTTTGAATTGAGTGTTTCTTGCATTTGTCATTTTGAAATAAACTACATGCATTTCATGTTCTCCACCAGTTACACTAACAGAAGGGATTAAAAAGGGAGTGCTGTCACTGGTTTTGTTTTTGGTATTTGGGATTTTAAATTGACCCGGGAGTTAATGTTTGCTGTTTTGTTTTTTTGTCTGCGAGGTACTGGGAAGCTGCCCTGTTCTATGGCAGCAGGAGTAAGTATCATCATTTTCCAGACAGCATTTCAGTGACTGGAAACAGGATGTTTTTAGATGGGAAAAAGTACTTATTGCAAGCATTTATCAATTTTACAATATTTACATATTGGAACAGCAATATTTAAAAATCATTTCTCAAGTTCTTATGTTTGGGAAGGTTAATAAGAACACTGAAGTGACTGACAGAAAAGAAGAGACGGCGCCTTTATTACAGGTATTTTTGAGAGATAACACACAAAAACACACAGACTTGATGGAAATAAAGTGCTTTTATTTAAGAACATTTTAGACAAACATTTTCAAACTGACACATTCTCTCTTAAAAATGTGAACAAATCTTCAAATAAAAACAAAGGGAAAAAAAATAGCTCAAATGGTGCATTGAAAAGATCAGCATTAAATTACCTTAGCTAGCCTTCACAAAATTCAGCAGTTTGGCAACTTGGTCAATACAATTAATATTTGCGCAGAAGCCCCTGACAAGTCAAATGAATAAAAAAAAGACCCTTTCAAAAGTGGTTTGGAAGTTAGTGAAATCATCTATAGTGGTTAATGCATGATATTTAGCATCAGTCGGGTAGAAAGGAAAACTCTTGATGAAGTTTTTGAATTACAAAGAATTACTTTTGTTTAGAAAAAATTTAGTTACAGTGGCACTCCACAAATCTGTCACCATGCCTGGACCACACAGCCTGTTCAGAGCAAAGCAATCCTTGGCACATGCTGAAGAAACTACTGCTATGCATGCTTCATGTTCCTGTCTGGTGCTTATTCTGCCGCTCGGGGGCTGTGCGGTGCTCACGGCTGCTCAGACGGCAAACTGTCCTCCTGAACTCCAATAATGTCTTCCACGGTAGTTGTGAAACTTTATAGCTGCACGGCGGTCGTAAATCCACAGAAAAACCGGTCTCTGATATTGCATTTTTGAACTGAGGCGAAGTTGCTTGGTGACAGTTTACAAAAATAATCCGTTGGATTTTCTTACCGGAAATTGAGAGGAAATATCAAAACTTAAGCCACAATGGATGATGCTGCAGCAAAGGCTCATTTGTTGCCGGCTTTGTGGCCGACTTAGAATTTGATATCTCACAGCTGTATGCTTTTTTTCCCCCGGGTGTAGACTGTACATGAAACTGCATTTTTATGGGAAAATTTAACTCGGAGATCCAGCTTTGTGAACTATTGCTGCAGCATAGTGATATGTATGAGAGGTACCATTTCGCACCATGGACATTAACCAGACTACAACTTCACATTTGACAAATCAATTTCAAGTTAAGAGTAACTGTGACTTTCTAAGAAGACTTCACAGTGAAAACATACCTGTTGAACTAAGTCCAAGATGCTCACAGCTAGCCAATTTGGTACTCTGTACTCTGTCAAAAATAAGAAGTGACACGCGTTAATCAGACGTGTCGCATCAAACTGCCAAAACCACATGACATCACGTGGAGCAATCCAACATTTTTTACCATCGAACCATGGTGAAATAGATCTCTCCAGTCAGACAACGATATCATTTATAAATATGGGTGTGGCTGTAAGCCTAAATTGGAAAAAAAAATCCCCCACAAAAATTAATTCAAGGAAAGAAAATTACCCCACCCAAATCATTTCAAACTGTTGGAGAATCAGGATGGAGAGACACACCAAGGTAGAAATATAGAAATGTCTTTCCTGCCACCAGAAAAACCTTTTGGTACATAATTAAGAATTAGTTGTTGCCTGTGCGAAACGGATCTGTTAGAGAAGAGACCTGTGGTTGCATAGATGGAGACAGAGCAGGAAGGAAAACTGAGGTGTGGTTGTTGCATCTGGATCTAGAAAAGTATTATTATCAGTATTATTCCCTCTTATTCCTTTCACTTCTCAGTGAGCGAGAGCTGCAATATCCTATTCAGTTCCTCTTCCTCCTGCCTCCTCATCTTGTCCTCTTCCTCTTGAGCGCGTGCAGACAGCTCCATGGCCAGGCGGAGGTCTGAGTCGGGGCTGGAGGCGGAGGGCGAGCTGGCAGGGCTGGAGGTGCTCTCATATTCCACCAGCACCCCCTCTGGGATACTCCTAGAAGGACATTGAAAGGGGCAGGTGAGATCTCTTGCGTTTTGTTGACGCAGCGTAACTTAATCACGTGTGTACGTGTAGACGTTGTGTGACAAGCTGCCCCGACCTGTCGCTCTGGCTGCTCGGCATCACGTGTGTGAAATCCCCATCTGAATCCTCCCAGATCCCCTCCTAGAAGCCCATAAGCGAGAGCAATTTAAAAGGGTTTCATCATTTGGCAGTGAGCTACACAAAATAGCTGACACAGGGCTCTGTGTTGAGGTCACTATGGGGCCGTTTTCTCTGACCTGGCTAAGCCCACTGCGAGACTCCAGGAGACTCTGGTGGATGGCATACTGCAAAAGCTCCTCGTCGTTGTTGGACACGGGCGCGTGGCGGCTGCCCCCTCGGCGGTGATAACCGGCGGGAACCTCAAACACTGAAGGACACACCTGAAAAGGAGGCGTTGCTGAGCAGGCAAAACACAAAAAGACGAGAGGTTTAGTCTCTGCACTCGTGGGGGCTTTGTTCTCTACTGCATCATCCGTCAGGCTGCATCGCCACCTGTTGCTTCTTCTTCTTCCCCTGAGGAGGTCGGGGTGGCTGCTCCCGTGCTGGCCTCCTCTTCAGTGCTGCACTTATTTACATTACCAAAGGTAATCTTGGCATTCAGGACGTGAAACAGGGGAATTTCTGCAAGAGTGGAACAGAGAGTACAAGTGGTGTCCGTTTACTTCTTCATCAGTGAAGCCCAAAACAGCTGAACGCGTGGAAGGCCACACACCTATTTTGACAGGAAATCCAGGGGGAAACTTCAAAGCTACAAAGTCTCGTAGCCGTGCAAAGTGGGAGCTGGTCCTGGCCATGAGGTCGATGATGGGGGTGACCTGCTCCACCAGTGATAGAGGGTGCTCCTCACTCATCCACAGTGTGCCTTTGAACCTGTCAGACAAAATGCAACACAACACACACTGATGTAAAGTTGATGCAAAGCCAAATGAAATAAATGAAGGCGCTAAAACGTGACTAACTTCTGTGTTCGAATGCTCAGTTCAATGGGCCGGCCGATGTCTCTGTCCCCAAGGTCAAAGTCAGGATCAAAATACTCGTCTGGAGTGATTGCGGTAGGATTTGTTGCAGTTGCATATTCAAGAGTTAGGTCCTGCAAAAATCAAGCCTGAGTTTAGCTATTGGGGTGGAGGGGAAAAGAGCCATTTCATAACAATGGCAGACTGCACATCTCACCCCCTGTGCGCTGATATGCTGCTCCACAGTGCCCAAAAGAGACTCCAAGATGTTCCGTTCACCTTTGAAAAAAGGTCAGATGCAGCATACTAGGTCACCGATTGTCCTAAATTACATTTCTGTCGAACGACAAAAAAATGACTCTATAAAGAGAGTGTAAGACTCACTTTTAATCCTGGCTTTCTCCTCATCTGTCAGGTGCTCCGTCCTTGTCCTTATAACCACATTAACATTGTTGACACTGAAAACCTGCAGAAAACAACCCGGATCTACAGTCAGCTGACATCAGAAAAACTATTCTGCTCTCTTTTCAGTGCAAGTCGTTTTAAAACTAATGATACTTAAAAACAGATATGAACCTTTGCTTCAAAACCATTGACAACTTCTGTTTTGTCACTTCTCCAGCCCCAAATGCCAGACTTACTCCTGTAAAAGATGTGGTTGGAAAATAAGAAAGTGAAAGCAACACACAGGACTGCGGATAACAGACAACACAGCGGATAACGGAATTACAATTTACAACAACTGAGTTCCTGGTATGTCCTCTTAAACAGGGTCTTCATTGAAGAATAGCTGATAACGTGATTACAAATTAACTCCTGTGTGATGTATGAAATGTTCAGACTTAAACATAAGGGTTGACAGTATAAATATAGTATTTTTGCAAGTTAGATGCTACAGGGATGCTGGAAATGTTGTCATTAGGTAAGTGCAAATCATGATAAACAGGCCTGATTTGACCGTTGTTTACACTATAAGCCTGAAGGAGGTGTACTAACAGTAAAACAAGTGTGGCACTGAGATGCCACTGTGGAGGCCGCCTCTCCCTGCACACAGGAATTCCAATCTATTCATTTTGAGAGAGAAAAACGCCACAAAAACTAACTTGCCTTTCAAAAGCAATATCTTTTGTATCCAAGTACGTGTTGACAATAGGCGTCGTCAATCTTTTGGCAACTTCCTGTTCGGCAGGTTGCATCGATTCTAATGTGACATCCTCCATTTCTTGGGATATGTTGAAGCGTTCAATGTCAACCACTTCGTCATCGTGGTTCACCTCCATCAACTCTGCATAAGAATCTGAGAGAATGCAGCCCGGCTTACCCAAACAGTCTATTCACGGAGCAGTCCAACTCATAAACAGAGAAACACACGCCAAACAAACCATCTCCTCGGAAGATGTAGCTCCTACGGCCTCTGATCCAGGTCATGTTTTCGAAGCCTAGAAGAGTGGCATCCACCCGCAGGCAGGCGCCATTTTTCCAAATGCGACACACATCACTTGGACAAACCCGGGACAGAAGAGGGACTGTGAAATAACAGCAGAAAAAAAACATTCATTCCTTAAGCAAAATGAACAAAATAAACACAAAAAGGGCAAATATGTATCTTTGCCTGTGCATCCTGTTGAAACATGGTCGCAGAGTTATCGAACACTGTTCAATCTTGCATATTTAGTGACTGATTGCTCGCCTGTTAAAAATGTGTTCATTTGCACGTTCAACAACAGCTTTATTATACTACATGTCTATAAACAGTCACAGACATTACTTACTCCAACTAGTGAATTCCCACTTCATTTCCATGTAGAAATCTGGAGACTGTGGATGTAAAAAACACAGCATAACCCTTTACTCAAACAGCACTTGTTTTCAGGAAAATAAACAGATAATGATAAAAAAAGTAAAATATGATGCAAAACCTCTCTGATCTTTGCCAGCAGCTCAGGCACTCCTCCTAAAGCAGTGGAAGCTTTCAGGTAGTCTCTGCGTTGAAGCACTAACTGAACCATCTCTGGATCTCCGGTGCTGACAGCTTCCTGCAGGACTACACAAACGCAGACAACTGTCAATAAACTGCTAACAGCCTGTGTTAGTGTCCCAGTCTTCCATTAAGAAACCTCAACGATGATGTCAAATGCTTTACCACAACTGCTGAAGTGCAAAAAAAAGTGAAAAGTGAATAGAAAATCCACAAAACGATCTAAGAAGGATGTGTGAAAGAAGAATTAAGGAAATGTGTTTTTTATTATTGCAGCGCTTATTTGTTATGAGCCAGATTTAGAGCTAACCTGTCCAATTATAGGAATTTTCTTTCGTCACTTGAGCGCCGTGTCTCAGAAGGACTCTCACAGACTCCAGGTGTCCAAGTGACACAGCGAGGTGCAAAGCTGTCCGGCCTCTGGGATCCACAGCCTCAACATCATTCTGAGAAAAATAAAGAAAACAGCCTGTTCAAACAACAACACATTTAATTAGACAGGGAATCTTTTCACAGTAAACTCTGCACACACGCGACAAGGTGTTACAGAACACGAGAATGTTAGGTTAGCCTAGGTGTCAAATAATGTCATACAATAACTCAACACCCTCTTATTTAGGCCTGTGGTGATAATAACTAAGGACTGCAGTACTCAGTACACAAGTATCCTCCATGTGTCTCATATGAGTCACGCCATAAATGTGGCATCTGTACGCGGTAAGCCTCAGTCAGAGTTAAGATTATTTCCTAAAGTTGAAAAACAAAACTGTAAAAGTAAGACAGCATTCACAAACACTCAATTCTGTTCATTTAATTTGCATCTTATTCCTAAAGCGCAGAATCATAACAACTGTATTCTCAATGAATCTCAAAGACACAGTCCAATTTACACCAACACTAATCTAATCCACTGTGATCTTCAATAATTATTTAAATACTGAATGATTTACAAAATTCCTTCTATTGACTACTGGCTATACTGACTGACAGGAGACATATTGTGTCGTGTAAACGCCTCTAAAAATCAATTGAAACACACAACTAAACAGGAAACAAGTCATTTGTTGCATGTCCTTACACAAACTGTACCGAGATATTTTGAAGTAGCTTGATCGTCCATACAACTGCGCTATTGTGTGAAGAGTTAACTTTAGTCTGTCCACAGATAATCGAGCATTGTTTGGTGTGTGACTGCGGAGCATCTGTCAACACCACTGGCCTACTTAAACTGCCTGCCTGCGGACACCCGTCAGCTCATTCCTGCCTTCACTTAGCTAGCAAAGCGTGGGTTTTTAGGCTAGCAGCAAGGCCGACGTTTTCACTAACCTGTGGTAACTTTATTTGCTCTTCCAGTCTCCTGTAATCATTTTCCCACACTGCGGAATGCAGGGGGAATTTCACTCTGATGTCTTCGCTAACGTTAGCCGTGGACATCTTCTTCCTTCTCGAGCCTTTCAGTTGTGCCAGAAACCCGTTTCAGCCATGAAAGAAGTAGTGGCTAGTCACGCAAAAATGTGCGACACATATTATCCGTGTTTTAAAGCTGACAGCGACGTCGAAAAATCCCAACCCGGTGACCAACTTTCCCCCTAAAGCCTTCTCCTAAATAAAACTTTTGAACAAGGAAGTGCCAGGAGCAGCAGCCAGTAACAACAGGGGTGTCCTACATAGAAACGGACTAAGTCTGTCAGTCCTATTCCGATATAAATACCGACCAACTGCCCCTTAAAATAACAGTCTAACTCGGCATAATAAATTTTATATTTCTTAGTAAATCCACGACAGACACAGGTTTAGCAACGAGGGCTGTTGTTATTGGAAAAAGCGTAATAGTCAGTTCCAGTTTGGACGCAACAACTCAACATGTCAGTACGGGGGTCGTAATAACCCATTTAGGGATAATCCCTCCATAGATGTATTTTTTATAAACTTTAGATAGTTAGTTTTTATTTTAAGCAGGTATAAAATTAAATACGTGACAAACCAACGGTGAAATTTACCGGAGAAACAAATAGTCTGTTTTGTCTCTCCCGTTAAGATGGTACTGGCCATTTGACGTATCAGGGAGGGAGGTTGAAAATCTGAAACTGCGCGACCTGCTCAGTGCTGAGTGAGAAATATCAACTCTATGAGACAAACAAGCGTCGGTGGACTGTGCTAACAATTTTTAGTTAAACCTGCTATATGTGTCTGTTATGTTGACTTTTCTTTTTTTCATAACCAAGGGGAGGTCAACCCAGATTGAAAAATTAACATGGCTAAATGTGCACGTCTGGTTGTTGAATAGAAAACTTAAACTTTATCTTTAGCTTGTCTGTCTTTTGTTCTGGGTTGTATCATGTGGATTTTCAGTGACTCACTTTTTTGTGATCATATTCCATGGGTAATTTTTTTCTTATGTTTAGAAATTCCTCAACAATTTATGGTTCTTTTTTGCATGTTGGGTATTTATTTAGCTATTTGTTTTTTATTCTGTTGTCAGCTGTTATTTTCCATCCTTGTAGTCATTTGGGTCTCTCAACTAAGTTGAGTGGTTGTGTGGTCATTCAGCAGTGCTTCAACGTTTTGGCATCTTCATTATCATTTTTGTGTTTGTGGGTTATCTATGGCCCCTTGAATGATCACACATAATTGTTTATGTCGTTGCTCTTTATAGTAGTTGCTGATGCAGAGGCAAAGCTACTGGGTTTCCCTGGGCCCATTGAGCCTGTAAGTCAACGATTCAATTTGAAGGCTTATAAAACTAGTTGTTGTTTGGCAGTAATTCAACTTAGCAATTCAGACATGTTTTGAAGTATTCTACTATATGTTCGTCTACAAACAGCAGTATTTCTCGCTGTGAAGCTGAACCCCGCTGTACCGGGTCAAAAGGTGTACAGATCAAACTCACCCCATGTGCATCTTTTTCTGTCTTTCTATAATCCCTCAACTTGAGTTGTCAGGCTATTCACGTTGCGCTAATTTGACTTTTCATCATTATGAAAATCATTATGAATACCCCTTACGATTAGGATTCAATCACGCACTGATCGCAACACACAAGAAGACGCCCCTCTTCTTCGTTTTTCTGGTTGCTTGCCTGACAGTCCTAGCGGCGGGCATAGTTAGCCCTTTCTCGGAGGCCGTGGCAGCAGCTGCTGCGGGGAGCACTCTCCGTCTCCGCCACAGAGGGCTAAACTACCAAATGGCACAGCCTGCTTAGCGAGGCAGGTGGGTGCCTGGCCAGCTTGTTTGGAATCCCGAAAGATGGTGTTGTCATGTTCGTGACGCTCCTGCAAGCCAAAACTCAAAGGCTCGCAACAGCTAAATGAAGTAACGTGGTAGGTCGGTGTGTTTTTAATTTTTTTTTTTTTTAATTAGCTATGTCTGGCTAACGCGGAAGGCGTCTCCACTGTGTAATCAATGGTTAGTAGCACCGATATAACACCCCACACCTTTTAAAAGGCATTTCCTCGCGGGGTAAAGGATGTCTAAACGCCTGCGGAACACGGAGGTCTGCGCAGACTGCAGCGTCCCAGGTAAGCAAACTCAAGAGTTCAGTGTTTGGCACATCGGGATTATTTATCCGCTGACATTTGGTCCTTATAGTCGACAGAGCTGGGTTCAATCGGATTAAATGTGCCCCCCTGGGGCAAAGCAGTTGATGCACAGTGTCCGCTGTGGTCTTGTCAGGGCAAGTTGATGCAAGCCTCGTTGAGTTAGGACACAGCTTCCGAAGCAGCTGCTGGTTCCTGCTTCTCAGTTTATGATCAGCCAACCACATGTCATTGTTACTGTTAGTGACTTTATTCAAATGTTTTATTTATTATTATTATTTTTCTTACAGTGCATTTGTGTTTCATTTAGTTGGATCACGTGGGGTAGGTGTGTCTAATGTCATTTGAAATCTAAGGGTCAGTTTCAAAGTTTGTTACTCAACTATCCTGTAGGCTCTCTGTTATTACTGAGGTTGGCTGGCTTTAGAGGACAGCTCCATTCATAAAAATATGTGTGTGTGTGTGGAGCTCTGCTTTGAACCAGACTCACTGAGTTGATGAGGGCACCTAAAGGCCAATATCAGAGCTTCCTCCAGTTGTTTTGAAATGATTCCTCCAAAGGCTATCCAGGGGAATTTTTAATTTTATTTTATAGATGACCGAATGTTTGATTGAGCTTGAAATGTGAGAATTTTCTACAAAAAGCCAAACAAATAATTGTTACACCGAGACTTTAACATTTCCCATTTCCAGCACAGAGACGTGATGCGATGTTATTTTCAGCAGGCGCAGGAAGCAAAACAGGATGCTGAGAGAATTGACCGCATGCTCTCAATGCAGAAGAATTTTTCTCTTCCGTAGCACCTTCTCGTTTAGCCCTTTTGACACACTGTGAGAAAACAGAAGGCCCAGCTTGTCTTTTTCGCCTCAAGAAACTGTTACTCCGCTTTGAACAATCTTAATTTCTTCAATGGCAGCCTGAAGAATTCAGAGTATCTAGTAGCTCCTCCGTCTCCGCTCAGATTAGTGAACCCAGAGGTCTCGGCAGCAGCTGGCCCCGGCCTGCCTCGCCATATGGCCCGTACCAGTTGCACCGTGGAAATATTTTTAGAGTTTCGAGATGTGGCATTAAATTTAGCAGCACTTGTTGTGGAAAGCGTAAAAGAGATGTGTCAGCGGGTCTTAGTGGAGGGGCTATTAGGCGGAGATTCAGAAAACGTGGGGATGAGGTGAATCTGACCAGTACCCCCTGCAGCTGTTGTTCCTGCACCTCAGCTGTTGTTGAGGCATTCTCAGTGGTCGATGGCCACCCTGTCACGGTACCAGACACCCGACCTGCTGAACACTTTATTGGCTGCACGAGGGTCGTGTGAGTTCCCTCGGTCTCGGGGTGTTCAGTGTCAGAAAGAGGCTTTCCGCCGACGGAAGTCTCCACAACTGTGACATCTGTACCAGTTGGAAGTGTGTTAAATGGGTCAAGGTTAAGTACACACATTTATTTAAGTCGCAGAACACTGAAACGTGCAGCCGGGCTCTGTCCGTGTCTCTTAACACCGTGCGTTACCTGAACGCGCAGCTCGGAAATGTGTCTGTTTTGAAAGAGGAAGCTGCTCTATCAGGAGGTGCTTCAACTCACTGCTGCTAACTCTCACTTCCTTTTTGCACAGTGCATGGCTTTATCCGCTCAGCGTGCAGTCAACAAGGCCCCCGAGGCCCTCGTCTGAGCCTCCTCAGGGTCATATGATGCTGAAAATGTGAATTTTGAAGCCTAAAATACAACAATCTAGCTATCAGGGATGGTGACTTGGACTCTGAAGAGAAGAGGAATCACCAAATACTAAAACACCTTGTTAGTTTAATCTTTCAAGCCTTAAGCTTATTTTACTTTACAAATATTTAAAGTGGGTCGGTGACATTAACGTTTTACAATAACATTGGAAAGCAGCCGGACACAAGCTGTCAGCAAATGTGGCCAAAGCAAGAAAAAAGTGATTGTTCGTCTAGTATTATTCTCGCCTATAGGTTCAAAGTGTTTGAATAAAAACTGGGCGGTTTTTGGCGGGGCAGTAAACTCTACCTGACTGTGTCTGCACAGACATTACTCAGAAAGATCAGGATCAGGGAAAAAGTTTTAAAAAAAACGTAAAACTGTGACGCATCAGTAGCGTTAAACTGTTAGCGTCCTCCTCTAATGGTTGGTTTACGGTGGAATGAGCAGATAGCTGTTGGCTTTGAGAAAAATGTGATGGCAGATGTACAAAGAGACATTTCGGTCATTTAAACAAGAATGAGGAGTATAAAGCCAAACAGACATCACTCGTAATTTAAATATTCCTGATCTTGGACCATGAACAGAAAACAGACCTGGGGGATGCTCTTTAGGTTGGGTTCTCTGACTTTTTGCCCTGTGCTTTTCTCTCCCCTCCCAGAGCCTCGCTGGGCCTCGGTTAACAGGGGCGTGCTGATCTGTGACGAGTGCTGCAGTGTTCACCGAAGTCTGGGTCGACACAGCTCCCAAGTCCGCCACATGACCAACACGCCATGGCCTCCCACGCAGCTCCAGGTTAACCCCCCCCACAGAAACCCTTTGTGTCCGTGATGCTCAACCTGTTCTGTGGATCATCTGTGCATGCAGACATCTGTATCACCACAGTTCTGCACAGATTTATTTTTTAACTGATTTCTGGGTGTTTATGAAGCACTTTGAATTGTCTTGTGTACAAAATGTGCTATACAAATAAATGTACCTTTACTTGCGGAAGTGTAAAAGACCCGTGTGACCTGCATTGATTTTTACCCAATATAGTATTTTTTCTTATGAATGGAATCGATTCTTTGCCCTATTCATTTAAGAAGTGCATTTTAAAAATTGCTGTTTTTTCTGCTTTATTTCACCCAGATGGTTCAGACATTATACAGCAATGGTGCAAATTCAATATGGGAACACTCCCTCTTAGACCCTGCTTCTGTGATGAGTGGAAAACGCAAAGCCAACCCTCAGGATAAACTCCAGTGAGTTTCTATGGTTCTTGGAGGTGATCTTTATTTAAGTTATGTAATAAACCTTTGTTCAAGCACTGATTTTGTGTTTGTTATTATATTATCTATGTTCCCAACAGTCCGAACAAATCGGAGTTTATAAAAGCCAAATATCAAATGCTGGCGTTTGTCCATCGCATGCCTTGTAAGGAGGATGATAGCTCTACTGCAAAGGATTTAAGCAAGGTGAGAGGCATGGCTGCACGCCGCGATGACAGAAAAGCCTGAAACCTGCTTTCAGCTAATATTATCTTGCTTTTGACACTGATTGTAATATTTATTTTCCAGCAACTTCATTCGAGCGTACGCACCGGTAATCTTGAGACTTGCTTGAGATTGCTATCTCTGGGAGCACAAGCTAATTTTTTTCATCCTGTAAGGCCCATTTCTATGTATCTAGAACCAGCTTTTTTTTATTTTTTCTTGTTCCAAAAAAAAATTCAGCTCATTGTTGTTTGTTGCTTTAAACAATGTCTCCTCCAGGAAAAGGGAAACACCCCCTTACATGTAGCGGCGAAGGCAGGACAAGTGTCTCAGGCTGAGCTGCTGACCGTCTACGGGGCCGACCCTGGAGCTCTGGACAGCAATGGAAAAACTCCCATTGACTATGCAAAGTAATCCGTTTATTCTTTTTTTTTATGCTTAACCCAAATCACTTTCTCTTGTATTATTGTAGTGGTCGGACTGTGAAACCACGTTGTGATTGTGTCTGTGTTTTGTTTCTTTTTAGAGAGGCGGGCCACCACGACCTGGCAGATCGACTGGTGGAGATCCAGTATGAACTCACGGATCGCCTGGCGTTTTATTTGTGTGGGAGAAAACCGGGTGAGCGGTGAGGGGCTGTGGGGTTTGTATCTAATTATAGGAGGGTGTAAGTGGCTTTCTGTGATTGCCGAAAGCCTAACCACAGTTTGTAAATGCTGCTTATGGAGTGTTAAATCATGCTTGGTCTACTTTTTCTCCGTCATAGAATTTAGTTCTAAATCCAGAACCTTCTTGCTGTTCCCGTTTAGATCACAGAAACGGCCAGCACTTCATCGTTCCACAGATGGCTGACAGGTGAGAAAGTAGAAGCTGTTCAGGTGAAGTTTTGAAGGCTGATCTGAACGGACTTGTCTTTGGTTAAAGTCGGTCTGAGCCAACGGAGTGCAGTGAGGCAGTTATTTACGGCTGCAGTGTTGCTCTGAGGCTTGCACTGACTCGCTCTCTGCAGTGTTTGTAAAATGTGTTAAGAGGAAGCAGACCTGGAGATGTAGCCGACATGCCTACAACCTCTGCAACTGCAGCTCAAAGTGAAAGTTTTTCAGATTGAGTGTGACTGTCAGTGCTCCCTCCAGACAAGCAGAGGGTCAGAAATCAGCACAGTAGAACAGAGATAGTGTGGCGTTTAAGTGAAATTCATACATATTGTTTATTTGTTTTTTTAATTGCTTGCTCTTGATGGATCAGAAACATGTAAGTATAAATCAGGAAAGATGTTTGAAGATTAAAACCTCCTCAGCATAGGTTTGTGAAAGCTTATTTTCTGTGTGCAGCAGTCTCGACTTATCTGAACTTGCCAAAGCAGCGAAAAGGAAACTGCAGTCTGTAAGTAACTAGTTACACTCTGTGTAGTTTTTAATGATTTCTTTCCTTTTCTTAATGACCCTCTCATCCTCTTGCAGCTCAGTAATCATTTATTTGAGGAGCTGGCCATGGATGTGTATGACGAAGTGGACAGACGAGAGACTGACGCAGGTAAAAGATTAAAAGGCTTTTTTTCCTTCTGGTTAGTGGAACGTCATCACTGGGACTCTAAGATGGCCAGCTCAGCACAGTTACGTGTAAACGTAGCCGATGTGATTGTTCGTATCTCCTTATTTGCAGTGTGGTTGGCCACACAGAATCACAGCACGCTGGTGACCGAGACCACTGTGGTTCCTTTCCTTCCTGTGAATCCAGAGTATTCATCAACACGAAACCAGGTGAGTCAGCCGTGTCCCCAAACCCCCAGCAAAGGTAGTTTCTCCCTTCAAGTGTTTTCCTTAACAACAAATGACATACTGCTGATGTGACTTATTCGTCTTAAATAGGGACGACAGAAGCTCGCAAGATTCAACGCACACGAATTTGCAACTTTAGTGATCGACATATTAAGTGATGCAAAACGCAGACAACAAGGCAATTCAGTTGTCAGTCCCAAAGGTGGGTGTCTTATTCTTACTCTGTACCTGGTGCTGATGTTTAACAAGGATACCCACTTCACTTCACTTCACTGTGGTCCTTCATCCTAGACAATGTTGACCTAATCCTGAAGAACATAGCGGGCAGACACGGTAGTGACAGCCAGGACAATGACCAGCCCGACTATGACAGCGTGGCCTCTGATGAAGACACAGATCAAGAGCTGCCCTCTAGCAAAAAAGATAGAACCAAGGTATTCTATTAGATTCACAGCCTAAAACTCTGAATTACACCCGATTCTCTCCATTGAGGCGTTTCTGTCTCCAACAGAGCCTGGACTCTGACCTATCCGACGGCCCCATAACTATGCAAGAATACATTGAGGTGAAGAACGCACTTTCTGCCTCTGAAGCCAAGATCCAGCAGCTCATGAAAGCCAACAGCAGCCTGAGCGATGAACTGAGAGTAATGCAGAAAAAGGTATCCACCTCGCTCCACCAACATGATCACTAACACCGGGGCCGGACTGGGAGGGGAGGGGAGGGGAGGATGGGGGGGAAGAGCACTCCTGCCCACTTGCTGATGTAAGTGAGCTGATCCAACCCAACAGGAACGCCCCACCCTCTGATTTGGCAGCATGTTCAGTCTCAGAGCTGGTTGCAATGGTCTGTTTTTGTTTGTTGTTGTTGTTTTTATCAGAAAAATAGATGCATCCTGACTCCACTTAACAAAGAATGTTTGTTACTTTTTTGTATGGTGTAGAGTTAGGCCATCTAATGTGACTAACAAGCATGTTCATGAAAAAGCATGATGCAGTTGATTGGGTTTTAATTCCTCATGACGCATTATGACTAACTGGAATTGTACGTGTGTGCGTGTGTGTTGCTTCATCACATACTGTTCATTTTTCTTTTTTTGTAATAGTGTTGATCGATGATTTCCAGCTGTTCTTTTTCTTTAGTTTACATTTTTTTATGTTATTCTATTTTTTTTTCTTTTTAAAGTGGTCTATTTCACAGTTGGGGTACTTCAGTGTTACATTTAGCATCGTAGACGTGTCATGTTCAGTTTGGGAGTCTCCACATCAGTATGCAGCCTGCTCACCACTGCTAAACTCAAACTACTCATGAAACCCATTATTTTTGGCAAAATGTCATTTGCAAATACAAGACGTTATCCAGTTTTGTTTCCTGCAGTTGAATTTGCTCCCATTTGGATCTTTGTGGTAAGGATTGAAATAGTTTCTTTAATTTGTTGAAATGACTCTCTTAGATGCATTTGTGTAGCCATTTCATGTCAAGCCTGCCGTACAATCAGAAATAGATGTGGTTGTTATTGATAAATTGTTGTGGTCAAACCAACAACGATAAGTAGATCTTCCCCGTTTTCATTTTTTTTCTTACCACAAATGCTCCTCACAGGACTGTCAACAGGCTCTATCAAACATAGAAGTTAATTGAATCCCACTGTGACTCCTCTACGACAAAAGAGTCTTTTATTCTCTTTATTCAATGCAAAAAGTTGCATTATTTATGGTCAGTTTTTGCTTCTCCTGAATTCCTCTTTTCCCATTCCTTGGGCCAATCTGTCTTTACTTTAGCTACATCTTCATGCGGCAAACCTTTTGCTTGCTTATCACTTGCACTGCATTTTATTTTTAGACTGAAAGAAACGCCCCCCTCAAAATTCATGTTAGTCCTGGTGGACAGAGCGATTTAATTTCCTCACACCAGCCTGTAACAGCTGGATGTTGTCATCAAAAGAACTGAACCAGGGACTGTTCCAAGAATAATGATTAGCATGAGATTATTTTTAGGGAGACTATTATCTAGGCATCCTATCCTTCAGGTGAACTGTATTGGGGACATTTTTTCATATCAACAAAGTTCTCTTTCATTCCTGCCAGATTAAAAACTTGGCAGAGTAAAGTGACCTTTTCTGTGCTCGCGTAAAGTGTAAACGGACAGTTTGTGGGAGTGAACCAGTGGCTGGAGCAGGACAGGGAACAAAGCTTGCTTTGCTGAGAGCCCCTCTTAGTGTGTTGCTGACCGTCTCTTCCAGCTGCAATCTCTGCAAAGCGAGAACTCCTCTCTCAGGCGGCAGGTCACAACCAATATCTATCAGCCCCCCAGCGGCACAGACTACCCTGACCCCTCCAGCCCCTCAGCCCTGAAACGCCGGCAGTCCGGGCGGGCCAGTCGGCCCATGTCTATGTATGAGACCGGCTCTATCCTCAAGCCCTATCTCCCCAAAGGGGAAACTCCCTACCCAGAGGAGGGTATACCTACCCTGCAACCCTTCCCACCTCATGTAAGTAAGACCTGTTCCCTGCTCTCCTTTGCAATTTCCTTTTCACCTGTCTTGTTTCCACAGCTTTCCTTTGTGTCTTCACCCTACTTGCTAAATTTTCCTTTTTTACCCCCTCCTCTCTTAATCATCTGAAACTGGTACTTTTTGGTAGCATCAAAGACAGTCCTCTAAAAAGCCAGAACGCCACACATTTGGTGGCGTAGCGTGACAGGTTACACATTATCTGCATGTTTTCCTTTGAATATGGGAGAGTCGCTTATTTATATATAAAAAGTAGTTGCCGAAGCAAAAAACATGCTGTTACCGTTTGTACTGTGTTTTATGTTGATGAAGCATTAAAACTACCATACAAATGCTGTGTGTTTTTAATGCATGACACACCCACTCACACCTCATCAGTTTTCATTCTCTGTCTGTCACAATGGGAGCCTGCTACTGACATTTTTCTGGTGCTGAACGACTCTGAGTTCAGAAAATATGTGCAGGAAGAGTTTTCTGTGAATGGAATAATATACATTCTATAGACACTGACATTCTCTAAGTTCACCCTTAACAAAACAAAATAAATCATAATTTCATGTTAATTGTTCCATTTTCCATCCACTCCTTTTTCAAATGTTATTTGAACTTAATTTAAGTAAGTGAAAACTGGCTTAAAGGGAATTCTGCAACTCCCTTTTAGCGAACAAATGTTTTTATTATTTGAAATATGATTTAAACCCTGTCTTTAGACAAAAAGGGGGGCTTTTGTGACCTCTTCTTCATCCCTCCCATCATTTCCATCCACCCTGTCTTGGTCGAGGGACGACAGTTCAGAAAAGGTTAAGTACACCCTCATCCGGTCCGCATCTTGTGGGACACAGCAAATCCACCTCTTTTGTTCTCCTGCTCTTTATTTGCCCTGCTGCATGAGCCAACCCTCCACTGGCCACCCTCAGCACCACACGCCTGCCTTCATCAGACAGTCACCCTGCCCAACACAGAGCGGCGGCGTTTGTTAAGGCCAAACCCCTGCGCAGCTGTCCGTCATTCTGCCTCTGTGCTTCAGACATACTGGCTTAAAAAATGCTCTAAAGTGAGTTTGTGGCGTTTAGAAAAAGCCGCCTCAGCTATGAAGAAAACATTTAGCATTTTGCGAATGCTGGCGTCTAAACATACATTTGATCCCTTTTTACTGGAAAGGTAAGTTTAATTAATAATGTGTAATCTTCTGTAATGTTTTGCAAAGTGTGTGTCTCACAAAATGCCATCTCTTAAAAAATGAGTGGTTTGCCATTTGATAATATATGGATCATCTGCTCAGACAGAACAGAGGATTGTCTGAAGGCGTCAGCTCATCTTCAGTTCACAAGTCAAGTGTCTTTGTTCCTGAAGTCAGTCTCTGCTGCATGCAGTCTTTTGTTTTAGATTCTTCTGCACAGGCATGTGAGGATTAACCCTGCCCATCTGTCTCAGCTTCCTGATGTAGGCTTAATGTTGAAACTATGCTGCAGTGAGACAAATCCAGTGTATAAAAAGTCATGTATTATAGGTTTTGTGAGCTTGATCTGACTGGAGACCATTCATTCTTAAATAAGCATTGGGAATAACCTGTCTATGGTTTGTTGTCAAATGGTTTCTGTCTGAAAGAAAAAAGTTTTTTTGGTTTAACTGTTTGAAACGTCAAGGAAAATTAATTTCTGTGGTTTAAAACTATCCATACACTAATCAGAATTTTAGTCTCAGTTTAATGGAACAGGTTTTGGTCATGATGAAGCAGCTCAGCTTTAGTAACATGTCTTGTTCTGATGTGAGAGAACAAGCTCGCCAAACTTTGCATCACCTATGGAGCATTGCATACTAATCCTCCACTGAATTCTGGCTTCACAGCTTTACTGGCTGGCTTTATTCAAGCTTCTGCAGTGCCTCTACTTGTGTATGATCCGCCACATTATTACTGCTGGACAGCAAACAAAGTGGTACATGTTTCTTTTTAACGTGACGTAAAGAACTGAAATAGAATTTCCACCCCAGCTGTTTTATGGGTTTTGCCACGTGCATAATGGGAGTTTTACGTGCGATTGGTTGTTTTGTTGTCTTCCCCTTAGGCATCAAAGTTTGAGAAGCAAGGCAGCATGCAGGAAAGTGACTATGACAACACTTTCAATGACTCTGAGATGGATGACTCAGGGTAAGAGGTGGCTTATGCCAAATCAAGAAAAAAGTCTTTAAGTCCTGAATATATAAAGGATCCACTGGATCCATTTGATCTGGAACTTGATTCCCTCTTATCTGCCCTCTCCAGTTTCTTACGGAGGGGGAGGCTGAGGAGCGGCGGCTGGATGGTGGAGGGCAGCTCCATACCCGAACTGGATGACCTGGAGATGGAGTCAGACCCCGCACTTCCCAGCACGGAGGACGTCATCCGCAAAACCGAGCAGATCACCAAGAACATTCAGGAGCTTTTGCGGGCTGCTCAGGAGAACAAACACGACAGGTCAGACTGTGACGCAGAGAGGATTTTGCTTATAGCTCTCATGTCCAACCTGAGTTCCTCTTTACATCAACCATTATTCTGTTAGAATTAGTTGGCGTTATGTTCTGTCATTTCCCCCTTTTTTTTTGCAATCTTTACTCTTCCTCATTCTACCTCCACCGTATCTGCTCTTATGCCGATCGGGTTTCCCCTTCCTTCACACCTGCGAGCAGACCCAGTGAGCGGGAAAGTGTGCGGCGGCTCAGGCACAGCCTGGGATGCTTCAGCACTCTGGTGCCCTGGGCTGAGAAGGCTCCCTCTCCCCTTCAGCCGCTTAGCCTCCGGTCCCCTGACCCCTCCTCCTGGTACTCTGGCCTCTGTCCCTGCCTCCCAGGCACAGTTTATTTTCCTCTCCCTGACATGGTTTCTCATTCTGTTCAGGCTAACCTGCTCACAAGTCATGCTGCTGCATGCTTCTCTATTTACTCTAAAGCTTTCCATAATTGATTGCTGTTTTTTTTTTTTGCACTTACTTTATTTAGAATGGGTAAGTTACATCTATGCTACAACTGATGATGCATTTGATTGTTTGTGAAATATTTGTTTAGCATGTTTTGGAATGGGAGACAATAAAGCATGTTTTGCTGAAAATACTAAACAGCCTTTTCCTGAGACAAATGACTTATTTTCGGTACCTGCTGTTTAATATGTACTTATTACAAGTAGTGCTATGAATTTTGTGTCTGTAACCTTAAAGGTTTGGGATGGTTTATTATCATTCCAAGAGGTAGAGAGCCATGCTGAACTAATGTACCATCTGTACTCCTCACAGCTTCATACCCTGCTCAGAAAGAATACACCTGGCTGTAACAGAAATGGCCGCCCTCTTCCCCAAGGTTCGAAATCAGCCTCGATTTTATGCAACTATAAGTGAATTGGAAAACTGTTTGTTCATCAAAAATGTTTTTAATTGCACGAAACATACAAAAGCTCCTCTCTTGGCACCACTCTGAATAAATTAGAGCGCTCACTTTCTGTCGTTTGAACCTCCTTTTTCAGAAGCCGCGCTCAGAGACGGTGAGAGGCTCTCTGCGCCTGCTGACCTCCAGCGCCTGCCGCCTGCAGGGCGAGTGCCGGAAGGCCCTGCCCTCAGAGGGCTGCCCGGGACCGGACATGCAGCTTGTCACCCAGCAGGTCATCCAGTGTGCTTATGACATTGCAAAGGCTGCCAAGCAGCTCGTCACCATAACAACAAAGGAGAATACCAACTAAACTGCACTTACAGGGCTGCAAAGCCTTTAGCATCTCAGTTCTGTTTTCACAAATATGTTCAGTTATTTGTTTTTTGTATTTGTGTTATATGCATGTGTTTGTTTGTTTTTTTAAAATGTATTAATGATTTTGACAATATTTAAAGGGGGAGATGAAGCTAAGTCTTTATATCAGGTGGAAAGTCAAAAAACCTGTTTGAACATTCTTGAAGCACAATTTTCCTGCAGTAAAATAATCTTTCAGCCAGCAGGTCTGTTAATAAACTACTCCATAAAGAATAGTTCCAAAAACCATTGTCATTTCATAGTGGTCCTACATTTCACTAAGAAAAAGAATGGTATGTTTGAGCTAATGTTAGTCCAAAGCCACCGAATGATACTTAAAAAAAAAAGATTAATTTATTGTGGCTGAATATTATTCTCCAAATATTGTTGTAGCTAAAAGAGCTTCCTCGCATTTATTACACAATGTAAATAAGTAAACCATTTAGTAAACTTCCATTCAGTGTTGGAATTATTGTTTATGCTGACTTTGTAGCTCTGCAATGCAAATGTTGCCTGCATTAAAAGCTATTTATATGGTCCGACCCCTGTCCGAGTGTAATCCTGTCTGCAGTACACTTATTGCAGCTATTTATGTGTACCCATTCATCAAGTCCATAAAAGCAAGCTAGACATGTTCTGGGGCCAAGCTGTATTCCTCACCAGCACCAGGACTGAGCTGTGTTTCTGACAGGCTCCGCTTTGCACTGCGTAGTGCAGACATTTCCCCGTGCCGGGAGCCAAACTACGTATGCCCGTGTGTTATGTGCTCTGTGCCACTGCTGCTAGATTGTATTTAATGTGCAACATGTGGGATAGAACTATCAAACATCGATCCTTTCTGAAGTGTTTCTGAATACATCTGTTCCAAGTATTGTTGTCCTTCTCTGTGCTCCGCTGGAGTTCAGGGATGTCTGAAACAGCTGTTCAGTTGGATGGAGAAAGGTTCTTATTTTCTAAATAAAGCTAATTCATAACCATAGTCTTTGGATGTTTGTCACATTGTGTTGGTTTTCCTCTCGGCTGAATGGTGTTTAGTGCCATCGCTTCCTGGTACAAAATCAGCCCGGGCCCTTTCTGTGTGGGGTTTGCATGTTCTCCTATTGTATATGTGGCTTCTTTCCATTGTCCAAAAAACACATTGGTTGGGTTAACCGATGACCCTCAATTGACTGTATAAGTGAAAGTAGGCATTTGTGGGTGTCTGTTTGTGAAATGCTCCATTAATTTGCTTGCAATGGTTTTTATTTCAAAGTACCGGTCATCTCTACAAACTCACAATATAAAATAATCTCTGTCTTGAAAAGTTCTACAAGTGCCAAAAAATACAAATATGAGATCATCTATAACAATAAAAAAAAAACAGCATTTGAACTGCAGGTATATGGCACACTACACCTTCATGAATGTTTAATCTTTTAAAGGACAAGTTCTTCTTTTTAAATCTGTCATAACACGCTAAGTATCCCTGTGTACGGTGAATTTTGGAGAGTCACTCAAATTCGTAATAATCGTATCCATTTGACTGTCAAAACATTCCTTCTCAATACGACTCTGAAGTAAAAGACGATTAACAAAGCTCTAAGATCTCTGTGCAAAAAAATCGCAATTTACAGCATTTGGATTCAGAAGTCTGAGAGTGCTGAAGGAAATAAGGGGCTCCCAATGACGCCTCATTATCCCTCTATTGAAAGGACTCTGTCTTCATGAAAAGACCTTGATTTGATGAAGTTTGAACTAATTGAGACCGCTGTCCCTCAGGAACCCAGTAGAGAGGGACAGGGCTCCAGTCAGCAGGGTCAGGAGGTGTAATGGACGTTAGAAGTGGCCGGTTTGATGACATAATGACAGTAGGGAATATGAACTAGTCGTTTAAAGCTGTACAGAGGACAAAGAACACATTTTACAAAAGAGGACTTCAGTCTTGTGGGATGCTCATGTCCAGGCTGATCATGTCCAGGCTGATCGTGGCCTGCTGTGAATCTGCGAAATACAATTTCAAGTATAAATCAAAGAGAATTTTGGAACGATTAGGATGGACTTATAGCATGAGTGTCTAGCAGAATTAATTTAATCTTCTACCTTCTCGTGGTATCCTTCCCTGGCCATCCTCTGCATTTCAAGCCGGAGCTCCTCCTCTTGCATTCGAAGGGCCTCCCCCCTCTCCTGCTCCTCCTGTGCTACCCTGCACTGCTCCTCCCTCTCCTCTTGGTGTTGCTGCTCCACCTGCATTAAACACGCAATGCGTTTTAGGATGATTTTCTGGGAAGCAAAAACAAACCAGATTTATGCAATTGGCACCAACCTGAGCCATTATCTCTTGCATCCTCGCTGTCCTACGGCCTTTGTCTTGCTCCTTCTCCTGAAGCCTGAGCTTCCGCTCGAGCTCTAGTTCCTTAATCAGCTCTTCGCGTCTCTTCAGGGATTCCTCCTGGGCTTCTCGGTTCTTATGCATTTTCAGCTCTAGCTGCTGCTGTCTTCCCACCAGCACCTTAAAGAGAAAAAAATGGAGATGATTTCAAGCACTTCTGTCTGTGTGCAAGTGCGAACGTTTTTTTTTTACAGTACCTCGTGCATCAGTCGTTCCCGGGCTTTCCGCTCTTTTTCCCACTGAGCTTCCCGTTTTTCCCAAACACGTTGAGCCTCTTCTCTGAAATGTGTGTTACACAGGTTTGAATTTGGAAAGAAGAAAATGTCCCCTCCTGTAGAGGAATCACAAAAATGTATGCTCACCTTTGTAAGATGTCAAACTCGGCCTCCCTCTCCCGCTCTAACTGAAGCTGCTCTTCAATAACACGTTTCATCCAAGCAGCATCAGCAATGGCTCTTTCCCTCCGTGCTGTCTCCAACCTCCTGTCCTCCTGCTCTCCTTCCACCAGCGCAGCCAGGATCTTGCGGTCGGCCTCCTAGAGTTCACACAGAGAAATAATTATACACACGCATATATATATGCAATGTGTGTGTGTGTATACATGTGGAGTATACATGTGTGTGTATGTATATGTATGTAAGTGTGAGTGTAGATTTACTAGTTCTTCCTGTACTTGCTGGGCTCGCCTTCTTAACTGGGCTCTATACTGACGGATCAGGAATCGTCTGATGGAGGGGGCACAAATACAATGAGTCCAATACCTTGAGGGGCTCTAACATGTGCAGACTTGGGATTGGTTGTGACTGAAAGAGCTTCTCATACCCCATTTCAGATTTCTTTCTCCTCTCCTCTGCAATCCTCCTCTCATCCTCTATCTTGTCCAGCTCCCACTGCTGGACAAGCAGGGCCTCTTGCTCCTTTTTCAAACGCGTGGCCTGGGAGAGATTCCACCATAAATATGCAAAGTATTCCTGCACCGCATAAATAGTTTGTCGAAGTTTAAAATACCTCCTCCTCTCTCAGCTTCAGCTCTTCCATCTGTTTGCACAGCTCCTCCGCTCTCTTACGCTCCTCTTCTTTCCTTTTCTCCTCGGCTTGCTTCATCCTCTCCAAAGCCTCATTTCTAGTCCTCTCATACTCATTTTCAAAGCGTTTCTTCGCCTCCTGTTCAGTTGCCTCTCTCTGTTTGTTTGACAAGATGTGTTACAGGAGGTGTCAAAACTTTCTTAATTAAACACTATGTCAAGGGGATAACCAGAGTACATTACAGGCTCAATTCTGTGCTAACAGAACACATTAGCAATGTTTAATTAAAAATGGACATGTCACATAAATAATTGGTCTTCACAGTTTGGTTTCACTGACAGAGGAATGAGTGGAATTCGAGCTATTTTTTTTTCTCAGACAGCTTGGATGATTGTCCTACCTGCTCCTTCTCAGATATCTGCTCTTGCCACCGGCTTACAACATGATCTTTATGTAATGCTGACTCGACCTGCACACAGAGAAACAGGGTTGTGACACAGCTGACGCGGATACTGATGAAACTGACCCTTTGTGGAAGGGATACTCAGGTTAACGGAGTCATGAAATGCGTCCCTCATGAGTGCTATAAGATTCCTGAAAGAATAGAAATTATTGATGGAAATAAAAAAGTATCTGTTTTCTGCACTTGTTGAGCTCTTTCGATAAGTCAAATTATCCACGGACACCTGAACTCATCTATCACACGATCACCCAGCTCTCCTTCAGCTACTTTTGAATCATTGGTTTGGATTTGTCTACCTCTCGAAGGTCGGGGTTGTTTTTCTTCCAGTGCTCCTTCAGAAGCTCTTGGACAATCTGAGGGCAAAGAGAAGATATTATAATGATCGAATTCTTACATGGCAGAGCACCGTGACCACTTTTATAAATATCCTAAAACATCAGTGAAACTACCTTTTTCCTCCTTTCTTCTCTCGCTGTGCGAAGCTCCTCAGTTTTGTGTTTTAACTGACTTCTCAGAGCCTCCCTATCAGGGACTACTTCTCTGAGCTCCGCCTCCAGCTGGGCTCGCTCTTCTTGAAGCATGGCCCTGAGCCGATCCCTGCGCCACTCCAGGCTGGCCTTCTTTTCCTCCTTCAGTCTCAGGTTTTCGTAAGCTGACATACTGACAAAAGTGGAGAGATTCATATAAGCTATGCTATGCTAGCATCTTTAAATGCCAATTAAATAATCACCAGAGTGGGATTGCATGAATTAGCATCCATTGATATAACATAAACACAACATAAATTCCTAAAAAGTATTCCAAAAAATAATGATGCTGTGATTATGTAACACCAGTTTATATGCAAACTTTAGGCATGCATTATGAATGCATGTATGCATTCTTGGTTGCATTTACTTCAGGGCAGTTACACTAACAGTTTGCACACAGCAGGCAGAAACCTCTTGGTAATGTTCTTAGTATACTATTAAGTATTTAGTTGATATTTACCACTAAGTGGTGATATGTACACTTTGTTCTTGTTTACTTATCATTGATGTCAAAATCATAGCTACATGTATCATGTAAACACTGTATATCTGGCATGTTTTAGGAGGGATGTGCAGCAATCTAGAGTTTCAAAAAAACGTTTCTTATCTTTTATCAGATTCTTTTGTAGGTCTGTAGTGTGGAAATTAATAGCAATTACCTAAGAGACAACGACTCCCATTTTAATTTTAATTGTTTCTTTAACTTTTGACTTGCATTTCTGGTCTGAGATCTGGGATTTGAACTGACAAACGGAATAAAAGTGACCGCTACATTAATGGTGGGCTGTTGGCTCCGGGGACCGCGGTGAGCTGAACCCCGGGCTCTGACCGGCAGCTGTTACCTCTGCTGGTAGGACAGGCGGGAGCTCCACGCCGCCTGTTTGTGGCTGCGGACGCTCGTGTCCCTGAAGTACTGGGCATTCTGCTCCCACTGCTGCCGCCACCGCGCCTCCTGCTCCCGCTGCCGGGCCAGCTGCTGGCCCCTCGAACGGGAACGAGTGGGCCAGCGAGCGGACAGTGTCGGAAGAGCCATGAGCCCCAATCCCTGTCCACACAAGAAACCGCACCCGGGTCAAACTATGAAGTTGTATCTTAGGCAAGCACACAAACCAATCCTTCCTCCCTGTTTGAAAATGCAGTATGTTTTTTTCGCTTACTGTTTAGGACTCCAAAGACAGAAGGCAGGATTTTGAACAACACGTTTACCGGTCACAGCATCCACCAAAAAGGCAGTTAGGCACGGTGAATGTGCGAAGTCAGCAGAAGACGGGATGAGTTCCCGCATTGAGGACAACACAGCTAAGAAATATCCATTTAGTAGTTTCTCTGCTCATTTGGTATATTCAAAATAACTCTCAAATATTTGATCAGAAGACGTACCCGTACTAAACTCCTGAAAACGTATACGCTTTGGTCAGCCCCCGATATATACCTTGGTTACCGTGACACTTCCTAGTTACTCCCACGCTACGGAATGGAGTGAAGGTCAAAAATACTTGATCGTAGAAAGACAAAGAAAAGCGCGGAGCACCTTTACTTCTCGTTTTATAATTTATTTTTTTTTAAGTAAGAACAATTGAAAGTATTTTTTGTTGGATCACTAACACAATACACATTATATAAATCATATAGATTCTGTGTAATAAATATCTTTTGCCATCTTTTAATTTTGGACTTTTGTCAGAGAACAATTATCGGCCTCTTTACTGGATGAATGATGTTGGCACAACAACAAGACCACATGATCTGGCAGCTGGATGTCCTTCTCTGACCCAGGTTCAGAGTAGGTGACTCGAGTTGTGTGTGTCTGGGTTCTCAGTCAGCTGCTGTCACAGTGAATGTGTAGTGGAGGATTTGTCATCTTCTTGCTTTCCTTCAAGAAGTAATAGTGGGTCCAAAGACATGGCTTTATTGATGGAGCATCAATTCAGACAGCTGCCAGCTGACAGACAGGTGGAAACGAGGCCATTTCTGGAGTCTGTTTCATACCTTCCACCATTCTTTGGTAAGTGAAGTTTGTTTCCTCTGTGTGGTACGATGCCGATTACAGACACATTGTACTTTCCATGGGTTGGGATCTAGTAGAATAGAAAAAATAAACTTTTCCATTCGCTTTATTGTGATTTACTTCTCAGAGGTTAATCAAAATCTGAATCGATCAAATGACTTATCACTGTCACTAAACACAGGAAATTATGTCAACCTTATCTTTTTAAAAGCTAAAGTGTATGAGCAAATTTAATCAACTTTTGCAATTAAACACATAACTTGTAGAGAGGAAATCACTCCCAACTCTTCCCTAAACCTCGCATTAAAATTTTACTCTTTCTAAATGATAATCTTTTTTTGGATCGTATGTCTCTCCATACAAATTGTCCACAATCCTATGGCATGCATAATTTAATCCACTGGCCTGGATTTTAAGTTGAGAAAATTGATTAGTACGGTGTTGAGTTCCCCTTGTCCATTCACCAGCGGCATGGTGCACTAGGCCATCTTTGTGCAACTTCATTCTGTATTAATATGCTTAAGTCCTTCTATTGAATTTGCCATGTGAAACCCTTGAGATGAACCAAGTCTGACGCTTGTATTAAACTCTTTTCTCCTTGCCATTATTGTTTTTCCTGACTTGGAAATTTCAGGGCCAGCTTTCCAACAAGCCATTAAGGTCGTTCTTATTACATTAACAAGTGTCCCAGTGTTCGCTAAATTAGACTTCTGAGCTAAGTGGACAGTACTTTGTTGACACCTTCTTTGTTTGGTTGGTTCTATAGAATAGGACCTCATTAAGATCTGTTCTTGTTACAGGTTTTATATTTTAAACATGAATAGGGCTGTATGTTATTACACAAGCATTTGTCCTTCGATTGGACTGGAAATTGTAGAGATCTATTCAAGCTGGGGACATCTCTGAAACAAGATATGTTTCCATCTGTGTTGTGGAGATGCTCCGCACTGGCACAATAGAAAGTCTCCGTCATGAGTAGTTTCCACTAACAGAAACCGGTCTGATGTGTCAGCAGGTCAACTCGGAGCAGTGTGTGTAGTCTGTTCTCAAGATGTCTCACTTTTCGCAGAGCTATCTCTAACTTTTCAGGTCCTTCATTGGTGAGCGTAGTAACGATAATACTGTCAACATGATCAGAAGATAATTAGGTAAATATCAAAGAAAGACACATAATCGTGTACAAACAAGCTTGTACTTAGTTTGAGTTTATGTTTTCATCCTCTTAGCTTTACACCTCTTGTTAACTTGGCTTTTATCTGATTGTTCAGAAATGTTGATGATCACCATGAAAACCTGATAACATCATATAAATTTAATTTATTTTCTGCAGCTTATATGTTTTATCCCTTTAAATACAGCTTTGTACATATTTCTCTGTAGATTGCCTTGGCTCAACAATTTTTGCCCCAATGAAGGCCGACATATCTGGTAACATTACAGTACGTATGATTTAAATCTGCCTTTGCGAGGTCACTTCTCAGTTGCATTGTAAGACAACACTGTGAACCGTTTTTGCTTTCTAGAAAATCAAAGCAATTTATGATACCAATCCTGGACGGTTTAAGACACTCCAGATGATTTTGGAGGCAGAGAAGGATATGCATGGAGGAGAATGGCCCAAAGTTGGAGCAACAGTGGCACTCATGTGGCTGAAAAGGTGTGGGAATGATTGCATTTTCGATTTTATAGATGTTTTAAAAAATACTTATTTTAAAGAAGCTTAAATAACATTTGTGAAATCATTGATCACTGTGCATGCTTTCTTTTTTAACAGGGGTCTTAAATTCATTCAGGTTTTCCTTCAAAGCCTGGTGGATGGTGAAAAGGATGACAACAACCCAAACCTCATTAGAGTCAACATCACAAAAGCCTATGAAATTTCTCTTAGAAAGTATCATGGCTGGTTTGTGCAACAACTCTTCAAGGTGAGTTTATCAATAAACACATTTTGTGTCACATTTAATGACTGCGTTGCCTATTTTGTGATGATGTGCGTCAGATGCTTAGAGCCATGTGTGAATATGATCTTTGCTTTGTCAGGCTGCCCTTTTTGCTGCTCCTTATAAGTCCGATTTCCTGAAGGCTCTATCCAAGGGTCGGGATGTAAAGGAGGAGGAATGCCTGGAGAAAATAAAAAAATTCCTCATTAACTTCTCTGCCACAGTTGATGCTATTTATGATATCTTTAACAAAATGAATGCTGATCTTGAGTACAAGGTGTGACTGTGGGATGCATCTGACTTCTTAAGAGAACCACTTAGTTTACGAGGTCTTTTACTCTCTCTGTCACTGTCACTGGATGTATTTAAAATGCTCTCTTGTTTACATCATGAATTTGTATATATTTATAGATATGTGTGCTTTTTCCATTTTCACGTTTTTGCTTGACTCTGGAGGTATTATTTCCATTGTAGCTGCAGGTTTGGAATATATATACTTTTCATTTGAAGTTTTTCTTTCCTCTTATTAGAGGAACATGTCTTTAAATTCTGAAAACATTCACAGCCGTGCTCAGAATAGCAAATTGAACCAGCAGTGTTAATTAAGAAGAGGCACAAGCTACTGTGAGATTTAGACAAATTTAATGAGACGCTAACTTTAGCTTTACCACATCCACTCAAACCGTCCAATAAAACTATGAAATATTTTCATGCCTGTTTCAGTGTTCCACTCATTTGTGGTAGGTAATTAAAAGGAAGAATGAAGTAAATGAATGAAAAATAAAAGAAGTCCAAATTACAATTTTTTGTTTTCTCATTTTGTCAGTAATGATTCAATGTTTAAAGAAATAGTTATCTATGATACATATAGGTTTTAGCCCCAAATAATCTGATGAAAGGAATTACATACACCAGAAAAAACATTTTTTTGTTTCTTTCTTTAATATTTTTTTCTGAAAAGCAGTGCTTTGTTTTTCCTCCACTTTTCAACCTATTAAATATGTATTTCCTTTCAACTTAAGTGACAGGAAATGTGTCTTTCATTCAATTTTACTTCCATCGCTTTATGAGACTAAGCTGTTCTGGTATTGGTTGGTGTGTTGCCACATCTATTATCATCTGGTGTAATGTTACATTATGTGAATTAAGCATGATAGACCCTGTTCTTTCAAATAAAATAGTAGAAAATATGATGTGATGTGTACAGATGTGTATCAAACATTTTACCTGCTCCTTGTAATGATTTCAGTCCAGTTTGGAGTTATTCAAATTTTTCTGCTGAACATGTCAATTTTGTACATTAGGTAAATTAGAATAAAGTCACCTTTTTCTTTCTGGATACTGGCATTTCTTATAAATCAGCATCAGTGCATATCCAAACTCACATTTCCATCTGAATGGCAACATTTTTTTTACCTGTACTTACACAGATTTAGTTTTTTTTTGTTTCTCCTGACATTGTTTGTGATTTGAATATAAAACAAGGATTTGTTTAAATAATTTGATTTATCACGCTCTCAGTCATGCACAAGGTTTTTTTTTCAGTTTTGTTGTGCCATCTTGTGGTTGTTTTCCCTTCCTGCTACTTTCTGATCAGCCGGTGGTGGAGGCGGTTTTACTACCCCTCTGAGAAATGCCTGCTCTTCTATTTGAATTAATTAATTTATTCTCAAGCCAAAACATTGTTTGGTTATCAAGTATTAACAGCCTCATCTCTTCCCCTGTATGGGTTTCTTTACACCAGCACACACTGTAATTACTTATATTCCTCAAATGAAACCTTTGAGATATCAGCCTCACTTGCTTTAGAAGTGATTAAAAAATGCTGTGCTATTGTTTAGTATTCATCTCCTTGCTTTTAGCTGATGGTGGAAGAAAACAAAAACCAACAACACATGGGGCACAAGGTGTTTATAAAGGCAATAGAAAGCATTTCCTTTTAATGTAGAGACCTCAGCAGAAAACCTAACCATATGCCCTGTCAGTTCCTTTCAGTCTTGTTCTTATCCATCAACCTCAACAACAAAATACTTGCATCATTGATGACTAATATCCTGTTCAGAGGAGTATTTGCATCTATCTGAAAAGAGGAAACCACTGTTTATCAAGCTTAGAGGAGACAGCACACTGGCTTTTACAACCTCTCAGAATTGGGTTATACAGTATTTAATTTAAAGTAAGACTATCTTCATTCCTTAATCTTATGAAGCAGAAATATAAACATGCATAAATCTGTCAAACATAGTACCAGAACTATGTTTGAGTCAAGTTTAATGGGAACCGAATGAGTGTTGAGTAAAGAGTCAAAACAAAAAAAAGTGGACAGCTCTCAATAAAAGTAGATCTTGTTGGCTAATTCACATCTCCACTCATCTGCATTTAAAAGCAGATAATATAACTCCCTTAAAATACTGCACATGTATTAGTGCCTTATTACTGATAATTATTGTCACTCTGACCCATTCCCCTCTCGGATTTAATGCTTTTATATTTTCTATTTGCATACATTTTTCAGGATGACATTTGCTAATAACTCATTTGAAAATGGACGTGTCATCATCTCAATACTCCAATTAGATTAGTTATATCTACAGTAAACGAGTCAGCAGTAAAAACTAAACTAAATGTCTTAATCAAATAACTTAATAATTTGTACAAAAACACCAGGAGAAAGCTGGCCCCTTCAGTTTGGTCATTGTCAGACATGCATAAGGCCACAACATCCTGACAGATTAAAAAATAACCCCAGAAAATGTTCATACAACTGCGGTGAGGCAGTGTGAAATGTACTGAATGAACTTTGTAATCGATGCCTGTAAATGAGAAGGGTTTACAAATGGTAAAAGTGGTCAGAGGGGTAAGTCAGAGAACAGGGATGGTTTGGGCTTTTCCTTTTATTTGTGAATGGGAAAAATGACACACAGGCTGCCCTGTACTGAGGTAGTCAGCAGCAAACACCGTGCTTTGTGAAGTTGGAGGAACTGTACCAGCGTGTCTGTGAAATTCCAGGAAAAGAGAAGGAGGGTTCAGAAAAGGATGGCCCTTGATTCAGTTGGAGCCTCACCTAGCTGCGGGCGCGCGCACTACTGCGGCGCGCTCTTCCGCGTTAAGCTCCAACTTTCTATCAAGGTGGTGGCCACTTTTTTCCCACCCGAAATCCGTGAAAGCATCCGTTGTTCAGGTGTCCAGGGCGGCGGTAGAGTACAGGAAACAAGGCAACGGAGCAGTGCTGCCCGGTCCCCCTCCACTCCATTAAAGCTGGACAGGCGCGCAGCAGAGGAGGCGAAATCCACTTAAACCATGGAGCAAAACTGCGCACATTTTAAAGGAATGAGAAATGGATCAGCTGCCTAAAGGAGAGTAAGTAAAACACCATAACAACATGGTTCTGTATTTGCCTTTGGAATTAGTTAGTTAGCATACATGCCTTATACTCCCACCCCCCCCCCTTTTTTTTCTGGATTATTTAATTTTTTATTATCCTGTTTCGAGATTGTTTATGATTTGTGTTCTTTGACCAACACAAATTCATTTTTAAAAAAGTATATTTTTTGTTGGATTTCGTTTGCTATTTCTGGGATATTTAGTTTGGAGCAGTTGTCACATCACATTTTCCATACCTCCACTCCCTCCTCCTCCAGCTACTCCTCTTGATAATGTCACATCAGCAGAGGCATGCAGGAACTTCCCCAGCTCAGAGGAGACATTTAGGTCACTTACAACAGGAAACTTTCAAGTTTCCACTTCCCAACAAGTAGATAATATACGATAACACTCTGTCACTGTGTTGTGTATGCTTCACTCAAACTTTCTCAATAATCTCGGTGTTTGCTCTTAGTTTGTTGTGACAGTTATTCAGGGGGAGCCTCTTTTTGTTCCTGCATCTTTTCATCATTAGGTGACCACCGAAGTGTAAAGGCACGATAATCCTTTGTGCCATGAGTCATTCTTCCCGCTTTTGTTTATGTTACTCCTTTGCTGTGCAGTCTGGCATATTTGAGTTGTCGCTATCAACACCAAACTCAGGAAAACCAATGGCCTGAGAGGAAGTTTGTGTAGTTCAAGTGATGGTGTGCACGTTGGAAAATTGAGCTGAGAAGCTGAGACAGTGTGAAGCTATAAACCTCAGGCAGGGAGAACTTATGTTGGTATTCTTTTCGTTTTATCTTGAGCTTGTTTAACAGAAAGGTGGAGTGATTCATTCTGCTTTCCAGATATCCCATTTCTGTGAAACTCTTGCTGAGTTGTTGATTTGTTAGTACTTCTTTGTTAGTATTTCATTTGTTTCCCTTCTCCTTTTGTTTTGCAGAGCCCTCATATGCTTCATCATCAGTTCATCTATGCACTGAAGAGGATTCTTGATAAAAGTGATGAATGAGGTACAAATGAAATAGATATCTTTTGTATATATTACCAGTCTTTGGGGAAATTATATTTAACTTCTAATGAACACTTGTTCTGCTTCGAAGAGCATTTTGTGACTGCACATTATGGTGGTTTCTACTTCCTCATGGGTCCTGAAAATGGATCTGGTCCACCATAATTTAAGATGTAACTCGTCTCTTTCTACATTCTGTACAGACAGATGAGAGCAGGGTTTCAAAGAGGGACGTTGAAAAGTATTCAACGTCCCTCTCTGAAACTCGTATGTTTCACGTTATCATAAATTGTTTCTTACAATTAATATGTTGGAACATGTTTATCCAGTTAAGCTTTTCTTAACAGCCGAAGGGAACGCATACTCATGATTCTTTAAACGGTATTATTCCAGGGCCGTTCTGCTCTCCTCAGAAGGTGCCACCTCGCCCTGTCCAAGACCAACACCCTTGGGTCTGACACTGCCAGAGCTGGCCCGTCTGAGGACTCCGGGAATGGGGTTGCTGTTCAGGCTGAGAGCGATGCGGCCTTCCCGCTGTCTGAGCTCTCAGACTTGTTCGAAAGTGAGGATGGCTCCCAGTCAGTTAACGACACAAGCCAGAGCTCAGCCCTGGAGCTGGTCCAGCCCGGCCAGCCTCCGGACGGCAGGCAGAACCTGCGAATGAAGTTTCAGGGTGCTTTTAAGAAAGGCATTTCCAATCCAATGGACCTACTGGAATCCACCATATATGAGTCAAATGTGGTTCAGGGCCCTAAGAAGGCTCCCATGGATTCACTGTTTGACTATGGGACCTATGGAAGGGAGAGCAACCAGAAGAGGCGCAGGAAAAAACTCCCAAGAGGGTGAGAGGAGCCTCACTGTCTTTAAACTACAACACAGGATTTTATGATGGTTTGCTGTTTTTGTCACATCGGGTTAGGGTTTGCGTTTCTGTCTTAAAAGGTTCTAAACATTTACTGTTTTTTTTCTACGATGAAAAGGTCAGTTTGGAAAATTGTCATAGAAACAGAAACCCTCTATACTGTAGCTTTGTAGACAGAGGCATGCCACGCAGACTATGCACACACTGACACATACACACACACACTGTTGGCAAAGGAGTTCTCCATTCACACAACTCTGTAACCGTAACAGAGAGCAGGTTGTTGGTTCCTTTGCAGCCGTTGAGGTAATATTTAGGCTGCTGCCTGTTCCTGTTGCCCAACCCGCCTAACGGACACAGAAGTCCATTTATCTGAGCACTCAGTGCTGTTAGTCTTTCGTTTAAAGATGCTTTGTGCAACAAATCCATGCTTAATTCTTAATTTTATGGCCATTAGAAATAAATAAGACATGAAAAGAATCCCTGCTTTTGTTGCCTTATCCCAACGCTAGTACAATGTGTGAAATCAAGTCTTGTTTTTGTGTCCTCAAAGTAAAACAGAGATATCTGTTGATGATGATCAAAGCTCAGACCCACCAAAAGTAATGAAAATATTCAACCGTTCTCTGCTGTTCGACTCCGTGTCGCGTGGGGACCCTGAGACCCTGGAGGGCCTGTTGGAGTACCTTCAAAGTCAAGAGAAGAGGTTAACAGATGAGGAGTTTAAAGGTAAAGCGGGAATGTTTTAATTAGAAATGGAATTATTGTATTATTTTCTATGGTCTATATTAGATTTGTAACTCTAAAAACTTTGGGTTTGTCCCTTCTCCCACTGCTTGATCTTTGACCTGTTGTACCCCTCCGCCCTGTTTCTGTGCTTTTTTTGGCTCGGAGGACATGAGAAGAAAAGGGTGGAATGACATCAGCCTTTGTCCTCTTAAGGCCAGGCCAATGGAAGGCTTCCTGTGTGTGTCTGAGAAGTAGTGTCAGGCTTTTAACAGGAAGCAGAGAAAAATCACAGCCAACCGCTGACTCTGTGGGAGTTTGATATGGCTTTAAACGTTCTTTTTTTCAATGACTACAAAAAGTGTCACTCTCGTTTGACTCCTGTTTATCTAAATTGGTTATTAGTTAAGAAATAACTGTTTTATTACAACAGCTCTATTTAAAAAAAAACGGTCTAAGTCTAAACATCTTCATTGCTTTACTAATTTGTTTAACAGAACCATCTACTGGAAAGACATGTCTGCCTAAAGCCCTGATGAACCTTTATGGTGGTCGAAACAACACCATCCCACTTCTGGTTGACATCGCAGAGAAGACTGGAAACCTCAGAGAGTTTATAAATACGCCTTTCAGGGATGTCTACTACAGAGGTATAAAAAATAACCTCTGGCATGCTGTCATATAAAACAGAGTTGCCATGCAAATGAGCGAGGCTTTATTAGCAGAGTTAAAGCTGACAAAGACTGTGAAAGTTTTATTGCTACCTACTCACCAGGTTTTTGGTGCAGCCCTAACACACAATTTCCAGGATATGTTTAGAGCCTTGTGTTGTGTGTCATTTACAGGCCAGACGGCGCTCCACATTGCCATCGAACGACGCCGTAAACAGTACGTGGAGCTCCTGGTGGAGCAGGGAGCAGATGTTCACGCTCAGGCCAGGGGACGTTTCTTCCAGCCCAAAGACGAGGGGGGCTACTTCTACTTTGGTAAGAGTTTGTTGTCTGGACAGAAATCTGCACAAAACAGCAGCCCTTGTTAGGCCTCTGCTTTTCCATTTATTAAACAGGAGATTCTGAGTCCCACATTGAGTTCTGAAGAGCTGCTACTGAATTTTCCTATCTGATATGTGAATAATGTTGTGATGTGTGAGAGAGCCCTGCGATAGCCTGGTGGACTATCCAGGATGTCCCCCGCCTTTCAACCATTGAATATTGGGATATGCTCCAGTCCCCCCCCCCATTAGGGAATAAGCGGTTCAGAAAATGGATGGATGGATGTGAGAGATTTCTTTGAGCATATCTGTCACATTTAATTTTCCACTCAAAACTCCTTTACTGTCTCGCTCTGTATACTTAAACAGTGGCCATACTCAGTGGCCATACTCAAATGATGAAGTCATGGAAAGTTTTTTTAAGAAAGACACCCTTACTGCCACAGAGAGGAAGTGACACTGCACACCCACCCATTTACGTTTTAATGTGGCTGCTTTGAAACGATTAATGTAGATGGAAAAAAAACACTGAGGTGAACTCCACCCAATACACAAATGTTTTTGAAGTGTTGCACACGAAACTGTCATCGCAAATGCTGCCAAACACACGAAAAGACAAGAATGATGCTGTGTGTCCAGTCAAAGGCGTCTGTGTTCTACATCTATGAAAAGTAAACATCCTCTGCCAGGATCGCTGATCGTCTCACTGACTTTAACTCCACCAGGACAGGGAAGTTGGAGGCCTTTCCATGAGCTCAACGCTGTCCTCTGCTGGCCACAGTTAGGAGGCTTTGCCTCGGTCATGAGGGTGCGACTAAAAATCACTCCTCTAAAAACAACTGTAGATTTGGAGTGCGTGGAGGCCTGTTCGTTTTCTCCCAAACAAATTTTAACACTCACTTATTTGATTACAATCAAGTATTATTTTCCTCTCTCACCACAGAGGAGATGATTTCTATTTTCACTTAGCATGGTTGTCATTCTCAAATCCCAGCGTGTCTGGGCACAGTGTGAGTAATTTGCTGCGGAGCTTTGCGATGAGGTGAACAGGAACCTGGCAGCGCTGATGGCTAATGGGATTTAGACTCACGCTAACTCTCCGTATGCACCCGTGCAAATCCATGAAGGGGAGCGTTTCTATGTGAGGTGACAAAGTAATCTGTCACCCATGGCAACGGCTCATTTTCAGCAGCTGCTTTTGGCACCGTGGCCCCATGGAGCCCCTCCCTCACACAGCCGTTAATTGTGCTGCTTTCATAGTGGGGATTTGAGTCAGATCTTTGATCCATGCACGCTTTGAGAGAAGCCATCAGCGGCAGTTCTTAATTAACTCTCCTGTTGATTTGTTTACTTTAATCAGAAATGCAGCTCTTTGTTTTGCTATTACAGCCATATTCATCTTTTGTGTTTCCATTTGACCGAGCGCTGTGTCCTCACCTGTCCAGGTGAGCTGCCCCTCTCCCTGGCTGCCTGCACCAACCAGCCGGACATTGTGCACTACCTGACCGAGAATACACACAAGAAGGCCGACCTGCGACGCCAGGACTCCCGCGGAAACACGGTGCTGCACGCCCTGGTGCACATCGCAGACAACACCAAGGACAACACGCGTTTCCTCACAAAGATGTACGACCTCCTGCTAATTAAGTGTGCCAAGCTCTACCCAGACTGCAGCCTGGAAAAAATACTCAACAACGACGGCATGTCGCCCCTCATGATGGCGGCCAAACTTGGCAAAATAGGGGTCGGTGGATGTGGCCAGTGTGTTTTGGTTTTAAAATATATATCACTGTGTTCAAAGTGAGGGTCTGAGGGTCACCCTCTGAATTGTCTTCCAGGTTTTCCAGCACATAATTCGACGTGAAGTCAAAGATGAAGAAGTCCGTCATCTGTCACGCAAGTTTAAAGACTGGGCCTATGGTCCGGTGTACTCATCGCTCTATGACCTGTCTTCATTGGACACATGTGGAGAAGAACCATCAGTGCTAGAAATCCTCGTCTACAGCAGCCGCAGTGAGGTGGGTCAAGTTTTCATTTAGCTAGAGTTAATTCTTAAACCAACATCAGAATACTAAGAGTATAAAAAAAATATACTACACACACATTAGAACAAAAAAATGAAAACAAGTATGAAGCAATCAGTAGATAGGTCAGACCTAAAGGACCTAAATAAGGATTCCTGATGTTTTGATGTTTTTTAATGCATTATTTTAATGTATTTTGTGTGATGTTGTTGTCAGAACCGTCATGAGATGCTGGCTGTGGAGCCCATCAATGAGCTGCTGAGGGCCAAATGGCAGAAGTTTGCTGCTGTCACTTTTTACATCAGCGTGGTTTCCTACCTCATCACCATGATCATCTTCACCTTAGTGGCTTATTACCACCCAACGCTGGAAACGGTGTGTCTTAAATTACTGCAAACAAAGGGTACAGTTGCTGCCCCGCATGAACTCTGTTTTTTTCTCAAATTTTTCTTAAATTATTATTTTTTTTAGAGTGGGCCCGAAACATGAAGTGCTAGTTGTATATGTCTTGGTCAAAGTTGAGCATTCTCATTTCTCTTTCAGCCCCCATACCCCTACATCACGTCCTCGGACTATTTAAGAATGGCAGGGGAGATCATAACACTGGCATCTGGGATTTTTTTCTTCCTCACAAATGTAAGCCGTTATACTCGGACACCTTGTTACAGTTTGACCAGTGGTTGCTTTGCTGTTATACAACTGTAATTGTTGAGACATGATGGTAACTTTACCCCTGTTCTGTACAGATTAAGGACCTCTTTTTGAAAAAGTGCCCTGGGGTGAAATCTTTATTTATCGATGGATCCTTCCAGCTGCTGTAGTAAGTCTGCATCATCTGTCTAAGCAGCTCACGCTACGTCTCTTGATGATTTTAACCCAAGGCCAATTTTTATCATCTTCTAATTGACATCTCTGGACTTCCCCTGACATTTCTTTGTGATATATTTGATTAAACCCATGACGCAGTTAATGCTTTGAGGATGTAGAGCTCCTGTCTGACACATGTTGATTTGAACTATTGGCTGTGATTTTTCATTTTGCTAAAATACCTGATAAACCAAAATAGTGTCTTCCTGGATTCAAATGTGGCTGTAGCTTCATGGCTGCTTCTTTGACAAAGTTATGCTCTGTCTTGTTTAGCTTCATCTACTCTCTTCTGATTATCGTCACGGCTGCTCTTTACCTGTCTGGCATTAAGGCCTATGTTACTGTGATGGTGTTTGCACTTGTCCTGGGCTGGATGAACACGCTTTATTTCACCAGGGGCCTAAAGCTAACTGGCACCTACAGCATCATGATACAGAAGGTTAGATAAGTTATAAGCAGTTTTTGGCAACCACTGACGCTTTGTTGTTTCTAACTTTTTTTTGTGTGTTTGTTTTGTCTTCAGATTCTTTTCAAAGACCTTTTCAGATTCCTACTGGTGTATGTGCTCTTCATGATTGGATATGCATCAGGTGAGAAAACAGGTTCCTTATTTTCTGTCATACTTAACTAATCTGAGACACACAATATTCTCACTACATTCAGGTAAATTGTTTTTTTCTTTTTACAAATGCATAATTTTGCCTCCTTTGTTTCTACCTCACAGCCTTAGTGTCTCTTCTGCCAGTGTGTCCCCCACCAGACAAGTGTGGCGGGGATTGTCCCACATACCCCGACTGCAGGGGCCCAGACACTTTTAGTATTTTCCTACTGGACCTATTCCGACTGACCATCGGGATGGGAGACTTGGTCCACAGTGCACAGTATCCTGCAGTGTTTCTCATCCTCTTAGTCACGTATATCATTCTCACCTTTGTCCTTCTGCTTAACATGTTGATCGCTTTGATGGGAGAGACAGTGGGGCAAGTTTCAAAGGAAAGCAAGAAAATCTGGAAGCTTCAGGTATAACTAAAGTCTTACCTAAACAATAGAATTAAGCCTGTTTTGATATTTTATTTAAATGAGAATAATTTCCTTTTTCTTCTGCATGATATCAATTTGTTATTACAAATAAAACACAACATTTTATGTGTATAATTTGTTTGTCTACCACATGTTATGTTAGAATGTTAATAAAAGACATACTAATATCTTTGAGGAAGTGGCATTTATTTATGTTTTTCTTTTTCTTTGGAGGTCCTGAAAGAAATAAATTCCTTGTAGGCCCATAGCATAGTTTTTTTTAATAATTTTTCCCTAAATATTGCTGATTTTTCACGTCATGACTATGATTTTCTTTTAGATGTTATAATTAATGTTAAGAGGAGTTTTGTTCACACCAGCTATATACATTCCTGTTTTTTCACAGTGGGCAACAACCATCTTAGACATTGAGCGCTCATTCCCAGTCTGCCTCCGTAAGTCTTTTCGAGTGGGAGAGATGGTGACTGTGGGGACGAACTGGGATGATACGCCAGATCGACGCTGGTGTTTCAGGTAAATTATAAAAACACTCCATGTAACACAATGTGTTTTAAAAATGTGATACTATAAGAACTTTTTCTCAGAGGAAACTCTCAAACAGCCCTCATTCCAAATGGTGTTTTCTCACATCAGAGTGGACGAGGTCAACTGGAGTCACTGGAATCAGAACCTGGCAATCATAAATGAGGATCCGGGAAAGAATGAGACGGCACAAAGCAACAGCCTGCAGCAGAGCGTCAGAGCCCTGAGGAGGGGTGAGACTGTCACCATGCCTTCTGGCTGATATGCATAGTCTGCATAACGTGTCTTTGTGAGGACTCTCACCATTCATTTATATGATGAGAGGTTTTCCTTCCATCCTATCAGATCGATGGTCCACTGTAGTCCCACGGGTGGTGGAGTTAAGCAGGACTCCTGTACCTCGTGATCTGGCGGTAGAGATGGAACCGCTGACGTCTAAACACTGACGGTTGAGCAGGAATCCAGGATAAGGCCATCATCATTATCATTGAGACTCCTCCTCAGGGAACCATTAGACCAATAAGTGTGCTAATTTGCATATGGCTCATGTTCTTTTTGTACACAAGGCATATAATTGTTTTTACATAATTTTCTCGGAAAATTCTAATAAGTACAATTACCAGCAAGCCTTGAGATGCACAAAAAGAAAGTTTCATTACTACAGATTATTACTTTGTTTTGTACCATATAGATAGAAAAAGTATAAACAGCAGGTTCTTTACCTCTGATATGTCAGACACTAGTGACCAATTACTCAGGGTTTATGAGTTGGAATATTTTAGCATGATCTACCATTATTACAGAAAAAAGAATAGTGACCTTTCTAATAAGCAGCATAAATATATTTTCTATATTGCATTAGCTTGCCAAGCAACAGCTTTGATAGAAGTCTGAAGGTGTAATTACATTGGGAGATATTAATATTTCAAGAAAATCCTATAGTAAATATTCATAGACTTAAAGAATATATAGCAGCTTTGCTTACTTTTAATTAGATGAGCTGCATGCTTATTTAAATGTTTATTTTTTAGGTGGAAAGAGAGTATGTCTATTTTATGCAGCATAGTCACTTATTGCATTAATTGAATAAGATGAAGGGCTCAGGCTTGGACCGTGTACTGTGCCAATTTATAATGTATGCATTATTATATGAATACAAAGACATTATGGTGAACAATTTGGGTATGATGAGCAGGTTATAGTTGTCAAGCAAATATGCAAATGCACAACAATAGCCTTCTGTGTTATGGCTTGTCTTTGAATTTGCAGAGTTATTGTTCCTTTGCAGCTGGGGTATTTGCATAATCAAGTCTCTGTCCTTGCTATTATATACTTCCCCCGATTTTCTGCAGTGTTTTAGACACAATTGGCTCTTTACCCAGCGCAGCATCTTTTTATGCGCATTAATTGCGTATGGGCATTTGTGTACGAGTTATTGTGCAACGTGACAAATGGTTCTTTTCACAACTTCTCCACTGCTGAAGGTCGCAGGTCGTTGTTTTGCATGTTTACATTTCTTAAACGCGTTTTTACATTTTGATATTGTTTGTACATTGCTGCACAGAAAAGTAGAACTGGCCATATCTTATAAACACAGTTGTCTTTTTTTCTATTCCTGCATAAATATAAAATCTGTTCATTTTTGTCTTTCATTTTTTCCTTTGAATTTTAGCTGTCAAACATGCCAGATCTAAATATTAATTGACAGAGCTAAATCTGGCACCATTTAGAGATATTATATTTGTTGAAGAAACCTTTAAATATGTACACTTGTTTAATTAGGTTATGAAAGTAAATACCTAAGAACTCACATGCTCTCAGTATTTTGGTTTGCTTGGATTGTTTTTTTTTTTTTAGGTATATCCTTCCTGGAATTTAGACAAGGTTTGAGTTAAGCCTGATTCTTAACACCCTCATGCAATAAAAAGGAGCTTACTTTAGTGTTCCCCTGGATTACGTGCACTTCCTACATTGGCCTGCTGATGGCTGCAGAGATCTTAATTTTTTCTGCTGAGTTGCCGGCAGTCCCAGGCATCCCAGAGAAGACGGAAAACGGCTCTGTTGTGGGAGGCAAATTAATTTCTTCTATTTATTTTTCTTAGCTGTAAATATGCCAAGGCTAACTGTTGTTAGTCTGCAGGAAACAGACTGAATCACAACTAAAGAGATCTTTCAGATGACATGCGAAATGTCCAGTTTCCTTTACTGAAGCTCATAGGATCCGTGGAAGACAGTTAATTTATTACATGTGATCAGAATTAGACCTCAGATCTCTTGAAAAACTTAATTATTAACCTTCAGCTTCCCAAATAAGCTACCAGCTGGCAATGATTTATTTACTGACTTTCGCCTTTCATCCTTAAACCCTGCTCCTCCTTTTTCTTGAACAGTGTTTTGCTCTCCTGATAACAAGAGCCACACCGTACACCCCCCCCACACTCCTCCACCCTCTCCTCTCTCTCTGAGGCCGGCAGTGCTGAAGGACACGGGGAATCTCTCACCACCTCAGAGAAGAGGCTAATCCTCTTTGCCCCAACTTTAACTGGGCCACTAATCCTCCAGGTTTATCTAAGCAGTGAGCACCTAGCGCTGCTGACAACTTGGCCTGCCCTCCTCCCTGCAGCCTGTTAAGTAGGGCAGGGCTCGGTCCTGCAAGTGTCACTGTCAGCAACTCTGGAACCACACGCTTCTACAGGAAGTGTGAGTTGTTAACAAAATAGCTCACTTGCTACAGCAGACTTTTACTAACCGCTGCAAAAGTGTCTCCAAAAACCAAGTAACAGTGAAGCCAGATTGTGCTGAAATGGCCCCCTGTTAGTAACCATATATAAGGGAAAGTTGACAGTCTTAGCCACAGGGTCTTAGGTAAACTAAATAGCTTAGATATTGGCAGTACAAGTTGTTCAGATATTGTCCAGCCCGTTAAAGCTTTAAGGTGTTTAGGCTGATGAGTCTCGAGCGGATACTTGGCTGGACATGGGCCAACTAATTCTTTATTCACTTAACAACACTTCAGACTGATGAATAGCTTCAAGTAACTCATTTGTTGTCTGCCTGAAGTCCAGCAGCCTGGCACAGAGGAGCCAAGTCAGTTTGCTCACACTCCCACAAATCATTTCTACCTTTACTTCAAAAGAGAGGGATTAATTATTGCAGAAAAGAGCACACATGCTTACTGTTTTAAGTTAATGCCAAGTCTCCCCCTTGAAATAATTCCTTCCATGACCCAGAGTGAAATATTTCACCAAGGTGTGACATTTCTAAATTGAATGAGCAATCACCGAAAGCACTGGAAGCTGAAGAGCCAGAGGCATGTTGGTCAGGTGGTGTGCGAGATGACCTTTCAGTTCATCTGAGATGAAACGAAGCCGCTGAACCTAAAATGATTCTAGGTGTCTAAACTGACAGGCGAGGGCACGGCCACGGTGGAGTTTCAGCCTGCTGCTCGGCCTCCACAGGCAGCTCTCATGATTTATTGTGAAATTGCCAAGCACTCAATGTGGCGTGCAGGTGAATGAGTTTTGCTAATAAGAGAAGTATTTCTGCTCCACAGAGCTCTTTTTCTGTCTGAGCGAGCGTGTATGAAATCAGTGTGCAGTCTCGCAGTACCGCACGCTCTGGTGGAGGCGGCTGGCTCATCAGTCTGTGGCTTATCTGATGTTTTAGGTGGGTGGGGAGATTGGGAGTAAGGGGAGAAAGGAGACAGAGAGTATCTGCGTTGAGTCCTCGAAGGTACCTTTGTTATTGAATGTGCTGATTGTGTTTTCGTGGGGCTGCTTTTCTTAAGCAGGACTGCTGGCAGTAACTTGACGTGTACGCTTAACCTGGTTAAATGGACATTATAACAACTGTTATTCAAAAATGAAATAAAATGGAAAAAAGTGTGGCTTTTCATTTTTGACAGGTGTGACAAAAGGACCAGGAGAGCTGCCAAAGATCACTGGAGCTGTGCTATAATTTTTTGCCAAATAAAAAATGTAATAATGGTTGTTTGACATAGCTGCTATTTCTTTATAACACAACAGGAGTTTGGAGCCCTCCAGGAACATGCCTTTCCCTGTCAGATTTGGTCAATTGAATGTAAAGTGACAAAGGGATTTTTTTTTTTGTCGTCGCATTACTTTTGAACGTTTTCTTCAAAGCACCATCCAGAAAAATGTCAATCATTCCCACAGTACAGAATAGTTGCCCCCCCCCATTTCCCCTTTTTGCTTATTTGTTTCCCTGAGGTGATGTTGTTACCGCTGTGGAGGTGAAAAGGGTCAAGTGAACAACAGGATTGTAGAGGCCAGCATATGGTGATGATGTGCAAAGTGAATCCATGGACTAATATGCTTACCCTCATGACAGGAAGATCTGGGTCTTAAAACTAGTTTAAATAGCCTTTTACAACTGCCCAGTGAGAGAGAAATAAACAAACGAATGAACAGATAAATAGATAGACAGGCTTAGAAGTCATTTGCTTTATTTCCTTATGTCAAACAATAATACATAAGAGAGGAGGGGTCAAATGAAAAACGAGCCATCAAAGTAAAGACATTTCAGTCCTGAGATTGACAAAATGTAGGGAACTGACAGAATATCTACCGTGATCGTTGGGATGGAGGAGAGACAGTGGCAGTTTCAGCAAATTGAAGATGATGGTTATGTGGAGATTGCAGAACTGGAGAGGGTAAGCAATCACTGGGATGCTTGGCTGTAGGCACATTCAAAAGTTGAAAACCCCACAACTAAAGGATTTTACAGCTTTTTGTAATATTCAGACTTCTTATTTCGAAATCTAAGACTCATATATTACTATTTAAAAAAGAGAAAGCAAGGTATTCTTTACATTTTTTCATCCTGAGGAGACAAAATCATTTTTAAACACAATACTGCAGGAGAACAATAAGAGAGATGCTTTATAGATTCCCATTTCCATATATATTATTTTCTCAAGGTTGCAGCACCCTCAGACTTTGGCAGCGTTGGTGCACTTGAGATCATCTGGGAAAAAAGCCCTGTTTGTCCACAGGAACATTCAGAAAGCCTCACAAACAAAGTGAAAGGAATCAGGAGGAAAAAAAGCAAAATCCCCAGACTTTTGCGTTTAGATTAGATTCACAAATGGCCATAGCATAAATCGGATGAATGCAAGCTGATGTGATGAATGCCATCAACTTTTTTTGAACTGAACATATGTGATAGAGATGAAATAAAACGCTGTGGGATCTTGGAATCTTGCCCTGCTTAACTGCCATTTCAGCAGAGGGCTCTGGGGCTGTGCCTTTAGGAATGACCCTGATTTATTTTAAATGTGCTGATATTTTCCCCAGGCATATTTCTGAAACAGCAAACACCCTTCTCAAATCTGACCCATTCCATTCCGCCCAATAGAACAATAGACATAAGCTCCAAGTAAGAAGCAAAACACAGATCCCATCATATTTTGTGCAGCACAGCTCTAAGGCTACTGGGTTAACTATACATGCCACCTAAGGACTATCTAAATTATTGATGAAAGTTTTTTCCCTTGCCAGGTGTGAGCCAAATGCTGAGGACCGGCCTCATGAATTTATCCCCGCTTAGATGTTAAGGAGGTACGCTGGGAATAACTCTGAGATGAGAGCCCCAGGAGCCCAAGGGCAGCCAGGGGACATGATTGAGGCTGACCAAGCCAGTGAGAAGAGTGTAGGGGGACCCCCCCCCCCTACACACACACACATACCCTACCATCATCTGTAGGTTAGAGAAGCAGCGCCAAGACTCTACAGAGTGAGCAGCTGCCTTTATTTTTTTCTTCCACCCTCCCCTCTTGTCCCCTCTGTTCTGAGTGAAAGAGCTGACCCTGCTCTGAGCAGCCCGTCTGTTCCCCTTCCCTCTCAGTGGTATTTAAGGTGCATAATATGCGCCTGGACCTTTACACTGGGTAAAGGTCTTCATGGACTTATTGGGATTTACTAAGGGATTTTTAGAACCAGCATAAGTCAATTGTCCTCCTCTCTGTCCTCCAACCATCCTTGTAAGTGTCTCATTGCCCTTGAAAACATGTTAACAGTCAATAGTAGTCTGTAGACACAGAGATAAGTTATGGATCCACATGACCTCAGTCACATGGTGGTGTCGGTGTGATTGATCCGAGACAACGTGTCAAAAGATGTCTTTCTGATCAATAAAAAGTTTCATTAAAACTTTGCTCTCACTTCCTGGAACTTCCGTAAATTGAGGTACTAAATAGTCTTTGATTGAATAGATTTCTTTAGAGATTCGATCTGAATATGATACTGTGCACCAAAGAAGGGAAGCCGATAACAACACCAGGAACATGGCAATTATCCTGATTACTGATGCTTCAAGGCATTTTTGACCCCCCCAAATCCCTCCCAGTATCTTTCTCTTTCTTTCCTGGAGATCTGTCACATTGCACGGGGGCCCCTCAGTCAGGCAGGGAGCAAGCATGTATAATCCAAGAGAAAACAAATCCCCTCGATCAAACACAACCCAGCTTTTAAAGCAGGCTTCTGAGCCCGGGCGCCAAGGTGCGGTGCGGAGGACCTCTGAGACGCAGTGGAGGCTGTGGTTTAGCAACATCCCCCACCACCACCTCCACCACCATCCAAACCCTGCTGTCCTCCCCTTTGACGCCAGCCAGCCAGTCCTAACCTTCAGTTTGTTTAAGCATTGCTGAACCCTGTTGGCCCCGGACAGGGGGAGGGGGGGCTTAGATAATGACATGCCATATGCCACTCTGCCTCTGCAGCTGAGTGAGCCACGGCCGGATCAGCTCAGGCACAAATCTATTTGAAATTTAATTCTATTATCCTAATATGGGCTAAGCGTGCATTGTCCAAATCAGGGAATAGTAGAATGGACCAGATTTGTGGGACGTGAGATGCATCCTCTCAATAGGAGCACATTAAAATGTGTAAAAGAACAAAGGGATGGACAGTTTGGGGTCTGTGCATCAGGGGAAAAAAGATCAGAAAACGGCAAAAAGCATTAAATTACATTAAAATGATGTGCTGCTAACATTTGTTCTAAAAAATACATTTGTGTTGTGATTGTGTGTTTTAACTAAGTAAGTTTGACTCAGAGTGGGTAGCTTCCTCTTACTTGTAGTGCCTCAGAGGAAATCCCTTGCTATTTGAAAAGGATTTGATTCCAATACTGTGATTGGATGGATACTCTCTACTGGAAGTGTCCAGTAGCCAGATGTCACCCAATATTCCCATTAGCAAGGAGGCCTGGTGCCTCAGACCTCCTCTGGTGGGAAAGGCCAGACGCTACCAACTCCACTGCCTCAAGTGTCTCCTCTTCACTCCAACATCATGTGACAGGATTTGATGCTTGGATGCAAAAGCCAAACGGAAAGGATTTAGGGATGGGATGTATCTGTAAATCTGTCAAAATATTTCTACAAGATAGAAAATATGCTGGAATCAGACTGTGACTGAGGCATTAGGCTGTTGAAACAACATGAGAAGAAAAAAAATCACTGGAATGTTAAGGAGGCTTACTGTGCAAATGTAAGCCAGGGGGATGAAATCTCTGTCAGCCTTCAATGGCAGTTTCACTATTAGCTGAATTTTAGACTCAAGGCTATGATAAAGGAGATGTTATCTGTTTGTGGAGTGGGAATAACTAAAGTAACTTAAATTCCTGCATACTGTTATTTTCATTTTCTCTCACTTCTTGTTTATTTAATTTATTCATGCTTTAGAAACAAATTCATTTGAATTGAAAGAGCTTTTTTTGCAGCAGCAGCAGCACTGAATACCAATTACCTTTGGATGGGCAAAATTTGAAAAGATTGTGTGTGAAATTTACCGGGCTTTCATAACTAGTGAATCGTGCATCACCTTCTGGTATCTGACAGAACCACTGAAACAACAATCCAACTTCACTCTGACTTATACAGGACAAATTTTAAGAAAAATGAGCACAGACTTCAAAGCCAAAAAATGGCATCTTAATATATTCTTAAAGAAATTTATTTTACACCTCAAAAAGAAAAGAAAAAAGAAAAGAAATGATAAGGATTAGGGATGTGGTACATTGGGAATGTATTGACAACTGTAGTTTACATTTTTTTGGTGTAAGCTCAGAGAAAAAATGTTAATACAGTCATAATAATTGCACTTCAATAAATCTAGACTGATGCCAGTATTTCCCCACAACAAAGCTCCTGTTCGCTCTCTCACTCCAGTTAATAAATTCAATTTAGCACTGAAGTTTGACTGACAAAAGAAATGCTAATTGAAGACCAGAGGACTGCTGCACTGATCCAATTTTTCACTTTCACTCGAGTCCCACAAGGCAATAAAACATCTCAGTAATTTAAGTGCAGTACATTCGAGGGAATCTCACAGTCATAATAAATATTTCACTGCTCTGAATCATCAAGCTAAGACTGGCTAAATGCATCCCAACCAGGGGCTGAAATGAACGAGGAAAAGCAAAAAAGCTTGGTCTCATTTCATCTGACACCAGAGGACAGGGCATGATTGTTTTCATTTTGTTTTTGTTTCCAGTATCAGGGGTGGACCCCAAATCTCTGCTCTCTTCACTGTTATCTGTCATTATAACAACAGAGGGTACTGTGTTGCTGTAACTACACTTATAAAGGAGACACATGAGCTCTTGGTCTCTATTTTTACTCCATAGAAAGTCTAAAGCTTCTATTAAAAATGAGAGAGATTTATAGGCGATAACCTCCAAATGATTCAGTTTCTGTTTATGGGACTGGTGAGTCAGTCTGTCAGTCTTGTTGGTAAAAATATTGTAATGACACTATAAAACAAAGTCTGAGGATTTTGAAGAACACAAACTAAAATGCACACGCACACATGCACTCAGCCACACACGCATTAACATACACGGGAGGTCATGTAGACAACCTGCCAATCACATTCTTCATTGTAACATTTCTTTTTCTTGTATTTTTTGCAACATTTTCTTTTTAAATAAGTATTTCAAGATTTATTGTAGATTCCAGTGTTGGTTAGGAAAAAAAAGAGCTCTCAGAACAGGTTCTTACAGAACCAAAGCAGCAACTATGCCTCACGTTGGGACATAAGAGACTGCACATCAGCTTGAGGAGGAATCATTAAATCATAAAAACAAAATGGTAAAATAATAAAAGAAAAAGATTAAAAGAAAAAACATTTGAGACACTTTTCCCCATAGCAGCCAATACACATAATATACCTACAAATATATCAAACAACAAAAAATAGGTTCAAGTTTTTCAAGTTTCTTAAATATATCATATCCAAACTACCCAATTCCAAACTTCCAAGTTAAGAAAATTCAAGCAGTGCAATTACTGTATCAATTATAACAGCAACAATAACTATTATTCAACTAACCTTTTGAATTCAACCGTATGATCCTTTTACATAACACCCAAGTACTGCTTAAAGTCTTACTCTTCTCACTTGTCAGTACAATTTTGTATGTATATGTATATGTCATGTTAAAGAGTTTTGGATTTCAAAAGCAGCCCTAAACCTTGGCCCTTGAAGACCATTTCAGTGACAACCTACACAGTAGCTTCATCTGTAGTATTTGGAAGGGGTATACAGGTGGATTTGCACTTTATGTCAAGCTATCATTTCCGTCAAAACAAGTTTTAGCAAGTAAAAGAACAAAGAAAAAATAGAAAAAAAAATCAATCCAAAAATCCTATTGGCAAACCACACAATGGAACATCAGGAGAATCTTGAAATCCCTTTTCTCTCCCGCTGGCACTAACTACCACCTCTTATGTTTGGGATTCCCACAGCCTGCCTTGAAACAACCAAATCTAGGGTCACTCAACATGGCAACTGCTCTTCTCTAAGCTCCCACACTAGTTAAAGCAGTGGCACTCAACAATTCTGTACCCCCACCCCACCCCCAAAAAACAAAAACATCTGTGTTCATTAACTTTGATTTTCTTCACAAATTCACAACTCTTGATTCTTTTCCTCCTCTGATTCCCCCTCTATCTGTAAACAGGGAGGCGGATGTGTGCGTGCTGGTGGTCTAGCAGACGTGGCACAGACACAGTCTCGTAGCCTTTGCCAAGCATCTGCTCCTTGATGCAGGGTGGGTGGATGTCATTGATCAGGTACTCCAGAGACTGCAAGCTGCTGCTCAGCACTGATGTGTTGCACAGGCTCTTGCTGGGCAGGCTGCAGCACAGGCCTCCCCCGCTGTCAATGGCAGGGTGGTGATGATGATGGTAGTGGTGATGATGGTGGGGGTAGCCCATCTCTCTGTGCCCCGTCGCCGGCCCCCCGCCGGAGGTGCCCAAAAGCTCCTGGGGGTTGTAGCAGTCGCTGTCGGGCGTCACCAGCACGCTGTTCCAGGGCGGCGCAAAGTACTGACCCACTGAAAAATTCCCGTGCATGCCCACGCAGTTCAAGGGGGACGAGCTGACTTTTTCCATCCCCCCTCCTCCGCTGGCGCTCGCCGTCAGGTGGTAGGGTCTGGAGGAGGAGGAGGACATTTGTGCCGCCATGATCCCGCTCCCCGGAACACAGGTTTCGGGGGACTTGCTGATGGCGCCCCCTCCCCCGCTGCCTCCGCTGTACATGCGGAGCACAGCCTGCTGTTGCTGCTGCTGCTGCTGCTGCTGCTGCTGCTTTTGCCAAAGGATGTAGTCCATACTATCTGCGTACACCCCAGTCTTCAACGCCTCTGCGTTGTGAGCTGGCAGCCCTTGCCCTGTGTACACCATGTTGCCTTGGGGACCCATCCCTACCACATAGCCTCCACTTGATGAGCTCGAAGAGACCCCCATGACGGTCGTGCCCTGCTTGGATGGGCTGGAATTGGTTGGTGCGGTGGTGGCCCCTTGACATACCTGCTGCAGAGCCTGGGCCTGGCAATGCTGGTTGATCTGATAGATTATGCTCTGGATGGATGGGAGGTTGGACTGTGCGGGAAGTGCCAGGCCACGACCCCCTGTAACAGGAATCACCGAGCCAGCTACAGTGACATTAGGGGGGACCGACAATCCAGGGCCTTCTGGGGGCTTTGAGGGCCCAGTGTGGTAAACCATTTGGCCGTGGCCACTTGCTAAAGTGCTGCTACTAGGGGGTGGGTATGGGGCAACAGCTATGTGGGCCGGAGAGAGTTTAGTCCGTCTGCCTTCCGAGTTCTTGAGAACACCTTTTGAAGGGATGAAAGTAGATGTTGATGATGACGAAGATGATGAGGAGGAGGCCTTGACAATGGCAAGGAGACCCTGGTAGCCCCCAGTGTGGAGATGTGGGTAGGGACTGTAGCGCTGCCCTGTGGTGTCATATCCATTAACAGTCCGGTTAAGGTGCTTGTGCTGGGGAACCCTGATGTTGGTGGGGAAGATCTTGATAGAAAGGGGGCTGTTGGCCGTCTTCTGAGCATAAGCATCAAGTTCTGCCGCCGTTGGGTAGCGAGGAGAATGCACGGGAACCACCAGGTCACCTGCAAGATAAACAAAGGAAAAGGTATGAGCAAAAAGAAAAAATCAGATCATAAACCCTTCAGTTTAGTTCTTGAGTAGCACAGCTGATATGGTTTCTAATGAAGAACAATATTAAAAGACAGAATAGGGTGTCACAAGTCAGACAAAATATATCAAGTGCAACAACCACTATATCAGTGGTCACTATGTTGCGAGCACATTCAGGCTAAAAGATGTCAGTGTTGCAAAAGACCAAAGGTTTGTTTCTAAAAATGACTTACAAAGACTTTTAAGAACAATCTGTGATTTTAAAAAAGCATCTACGTAAGATTAGATAGAACTATATAAGGGAACAATAACACACTGATTGTCAATTCAGACTGACGTGATACTACGTCTCTGTAAAGGTAGAATTCTTTTTAAATGGACCCAAAAGTTAACATAATATTCAGTCCAGGATAAGCCAGGCAAAGTTTGACTGCTGCAAATGGGCAAATGGGGACTGACATTCATTTATCTTCCATCACTCCCCTACTCATTTTGAGCTTTCTTTCCATCTCATTTTCACACCCTCCTGTGGATGTACATCCCTAGACAAATGAATCTTTTTAAAAACTCATTCTGTCAAAGGCTGGTACCTTAGGCGCTGTTAAATCAGTGCATTGTAAAATTAATTCGGACTCTCTTTAGCGTTGAATTGGGTTAGCCTTGGATACCAGGCAAAGAGGAAAGAAGGGGAGGGAATATAAGCTTCTTTAATTGCAGTAGCACATTTGAGATTTATAAGTGGTATCACTTACTGGGTCTTACCCTTGGCCACAGAATTTCCACATTCATTGAGTCTAGGAGTACATGACAAAGGAAGCTCTGACAAAAACCCATTAGATGTCAACGGATAATTAGCAGCCTGGTTAAGGTATATATTTTTACTCTTTATATCATTATTCATATATTTTAGAATGGAGAAAAGTGAAGAATGATCATGTACTAAGTTTTGCAGGCTTGGTCCAGGATATAATTTAGTCTCTATCACAATTACATATGACAAAAACATTCAAAATACCAAAATTCCGCGTAAAACAAAATAATACAAGTGCTTTGCTTTTATAATTAGAAAACATATAATTCCCTTTAGTGTGTATCTAATCTTTGCATTTAACGTCATTACGTTGTTCTTAAACGTATACGAAATGAGCAATAATGCCACAAACAAAAAGCCGTTTTTCAGGCATGGTTTTGTATCAGTGATCTAATGGAAATACCAAATACCAAAATTAAATCCACCAGTGAAGGTAGCGAGGAAGACTGGCATCCGCCTTCACTCAATGAAGCGACGCACTGCCGTTGTGAGTCGGGTGGCAAACAGGAGTAGGCGTTCTTCTAAAAAGCCCAGCATGTGTCATTGTTTGGGGACTGGGCACGGAGGTGAGAGGCCGTGGTGAGATTGGATTTAAACAACATTATTCAGGCAATTTCATGGCTACTTTGCTCGGTATAACAAAAAGCGTGGGGGGCTGGGAAAAGAACTCAATTTACAAGAAATATATCAGCTGCCACAAATGACTTGCAACCTCTTCAAAAATGACATTTTGATGTAAAAGCTAACAAAACGCTCAAAAACGTCCAGCCATAACTGTGCTGTCAGCAAATGTTCGGGCTACCTAAGGAGTCTACAGGGTGCGGACTGTGACTACGACTCCCTCCATTTCCTTTCCAATTGCAAAATCATTTTAAAGAGACTCCACAGCCAAGTAGTCACAATTCTCATTTCTTTGCAACCATTACAGATAGCATGGGGAGTTCATTTCAGCAACCCTATGGGTCTCCAACTGCGAAAATGATTAAATCTACAAGATCCTTATCATAAAAGAAATAAATTCCAACTTTAAAAACAGTAGAGAAGTGACTGTTAAAATCCAAAAGCCGAATTTAATTCTAGTTCATTGGATCATTTTTAAAGGGGAATACAAGGCAAGGCAAGTTTATATGTATAGCACCATTCACAGTGCTTTATATAGAGTTTGAAAGCATCTCAAATGTAACCTTACATATGTAAAAACATGCTGACATCAATGACTTATCTCTAATCAGAGTTATTGTGCCACCCTAATGGGCTGCTATGAGCATGTCAGGCCAGTCTGTGTGAGATGTAACCACCTCACTGAGGCAGAGCCCTGCTTCCCTGGTGACAGCCGTGCCATTTGCTTTGATGCTCTGACTTGCAGTGGAAAACTGACAGAAGACTTATTTCATTTGCTCTAAAGAAAAAAAACACACACTTATTTCAAAGCATATTGCTGGTCCACATGCAAATGTAATGGCAGTGTGTTTTCTGATCTCCTTTACACGAGGAAAAAATATATCTTTGATCATCACATGGTCTAAATGAAGAAAGATACTTGGCTTTCAGGCATATCAAGGGCCTGTTCCCTGCCGCCCCTACAAGCTCCCAGCTGCAATATGCCCATCATTTCACCTAATTACTGCCACATGAAGAAGAAAAAAATATAGAAAAACAGCCAGGAAATTCATTACAGGGTGGCTAATTCTATTCCTTCTCACTGAGTGAATCCATATTTTCCATGCCTCAGCCTGTGTTTCTTCTGAGAGAGGAGACAGCCCTCTCCCCTCGTCTTTCCCCAGCTTGGTCCTTGTTTGTCAATAGGCAGAGCCTTTGGCACACCAACCTGGCATCAAAGGGCTTCACACTTCATAGGCCACAGGGATTAGAGGCCTTTCAGGCCTACAAAACCCATCTCAGCCCCACAAAGGCTTCCGGTTATTAGAACCCACAGGCATAAAGGAAGGAGAGCAGGAGGAGGAGGCAAATGAGCATCTGGATGCTTCTGATTCCAGCTTCCTCTTTAAAAAGTTCCATGGTATAAATTTTATAGCAAAGTTGATTACAGTAAGTATGGCCACAACCCAGAGCGTATTTCACTCTTCTAAGCAAGCTGCTATAGACATAGTGTTTGATGTGCAGGGGCTCCACATCTCTCTCCTCCACAGCACAAGTCTATAAGTGAGGACATGGAGGTTAAAGGATGGAGCCGCTTTTTAGGCTGGCGCTCTGTGACTTATTGGTTTATGCTGCTGTAGATCATAGCACAGAGCGGCGGCGTACAGATGGTGCAGGCTGATAAACACCCTTCCAAGGAGCCGGCGTCTCAGAGTGCCCTCAGCGCCTCATAAGGCAGGGGGGGGTTTCCTGCACCTGTGCACACGCTCCAGCGCCGTCATGCATGCAAATATATTGCAAGGAGAGAAGAAAAAAAAAATGCATACACATGCAAACGCACGCGCAAACACAAATCTGCATCCGCAGTTGTGTGTCTCATTTGCCATCGGTGGAGCATGTTGTTATCCTCTGCTCAGCGCTCTCTCAAGAAATGTAGGGCAGGGACAACAACAGGTGCCTGTGCGGGCGACAGCCTGCAATGCCTCCTGGGCTAAATGCTTCACACTCGCTTCATTTCAACATGCGACAGCCTTGTAAGGATTAATTATTTCCCCTGAGGATGGAAGAATATGCTTTTTCCCTTCCTGAGAGCAGGAGGCTATGTGCTCTCACATGCACATGAAACAGCTTACAGTAAATTAAAGAGAGACCTGGGCAAGCACAGTTCTCACAATAAGCAAGATGGGGGGGGGGGGACTTCCTTATGAAAGGGATGTAAACAAACCAAGCATATGATTGTACTGCAAAGGAGATTAGATAAAAGCTCAGGCAAACACATGCATTAGTTCTGAGAGATCACGCGCCAGGGAGCGGAGATGGCAGGGAGGCAATTAATGGGCTGACCTTCGTCCTTAATCACCCAGTGCCTGGCACACAATGCCCATGTGTCAGAGCAGCACATCTCTAAATGCCACCCCTCATTAGCACGATGCGCACGGTGAGAGAGGCTATCTGTGCTGCCTTCCACTCTCCAGCGGTCAGACACAGATAGCAAAGCGGGGATTGGATAACATGGCAGCACGGAGTCAGACCGAGCTGCAATAGGCCAAGATATGATCTAGAAATCCCATTTTACTTGAAGGATGGGCAGTCTCTTTTTCTCGCCATTTTTGATTGGCATGAAACTCCCCAAGCGCAACGTCCTTGGCGTACCCGGTGCTGTCACTGGGATCGCATGTGTGTGTGTGTGTATGCATGCACAAGTGTGTGTGTGTGTGCGCGCATGAATTTAGTGAAGGGGGTACCCATTCTGAACACTCAATTAACACTCCTTTAATTAGCCAGCAGTACATTTTGAATTCTGATGAACTAATTTTCTTGGTGTGAGGGGGGGAAGAGTCGTGGTGGTGGGGTGGGGTGGGAGCCGAGTAGAGATGAGGTCCACTGGGTACAAAACAGCAATAAAGAGGGAACTGGTTAGATTAGACTGTAAAAAAATCCATTAAATTCTGTGCACTTCTTCCAAGTGAGAGGTCAAATTGTTTTGATCACAAGAAGCAAAGACAGACGGAGTATGAGAGCAGGGAGTTAGGTGAAACGGGGACGGGGAGGGGCTGCTGGGTGGAGGGGGTGTAGGAGATAGGGAGTCAGAGGCTGTGCAAGAGTGCACCACCAGAGGACCATGAGAATGCTTTGCATTTTAATTAGAGGTTTAAATGAATAAGCAGTGGAAGAAGTCTGAGAGAGCTGCATGAAATGCCCTTGCTCCCATTTATTAGTGTTCCAAGTGTTCTAAAATTATAAGCAGAATGGAGAAGTTTCTTCTTATTAGTGAAGGAAATGCTCCGAAACATCAAAAAGCCCTCTGTGTTTTCACCCGTGCAAGTCTGAATCCCTACTCAGAGCGTGCTTTGATCCCCTCTGACCACGGCAGTAGAGTGCCTGTTTAGATGAAGGAAGAGCACCGTATGCTTTAGCCGGAATTAAGTTTTCACTGCCCAACAACAGCATAGTACACATTACCGTTGGCCAAACAAAACAAAGCCGCGCTGAGGTTATGGAAAACAAAAGGAGAAATTACCAGAACAGTAAAAGAAAACAAGGGATCCTTTTGTTCGGCTTGGGCTACGGTTAAAGCCAGTCCTCTCCGCGGCCATCACGTGAGCCCTAAACCTCCCACCAAACATATGTGTCGGGTGTCTTTTCCCACAATGTGCACCTCCTTTGTTACTGGAAACTGCATGAAACACAGGATCCACACAGTGTTCACAACCCAGCGGGGTGCCCCCTTTCAGCCCACTGGTACAAGCCTTTACCATGTGTGGATAGTTTACCGTTTACCTCCCTGTAATGAAAGTGTTGCAGTTAATAATGAACGAAAACTAGACGAGGGTTGGAATCCTCGGCGCTGGAATGGGTCAGTGTGGAAAAAGTTTGACGTGCCGGGACAGGGCTGACTGAGCAGCATTGTTATCTGAAGACACCCTGGACCTGTGGCTATTGTTTAACTCTTGGCAGATAGGATTAGGGTCTATGACATCCTCTCCCCACCTCTGCGAGCTGGCTGCAAAGGACGGGCGGGCAGTGGGGAGCCAGAGGCGGCTTCTCGTCCTGAACAATACCTGCCTTGTGCTAATGGAGGTGTCATCTGGCACAGGGCTGATTAGTCAGCGATTACAGCCGGGCCTCAATTGCCGTGACAACTGCTGCAAACACAATGGGCCCTGATAGAGCCAGCTGTTTGGTCCTCTGCAATTAACCCTGCATCCTACTCATCTCCGGCAGTGCGCTGTCTCTAATTGACTATTGGGCACACAAAGCAGGGCTGTTGGCCAGGCCCCCTGGACATAGACCCCCACCCCTCTGTCGAGGTAGAGATGATAATAATAGAGGCGTCCTGTGGACTCGCCCGCCAGTCAATCAAAGCCTCAGCGCCCCACAGGAGCTTCCTGAGGAGAAAAGGAGCAGAGGAAGCACATGTAGGAGCCAGTGATCAACAGGGTAGAGCAGCCTTGCAGGAGGCAGACACTCTGAATATGCCCTCAACCAAAGCACTAATCAATTCAAGTGCACGTGAGGGGGGAAAAGAAACCCTGCTGCTTGCTTGATATCAGAAAAGCAATTTTTAGGAACATTTATCTCCCTCTGTTCATCTTGAGGTTGATTTTCTGTGCAACAACACAGGGAGGGGAAAAAAAAATCAAGGCAATTATTTGTCAGGCTTTTACTATGTATAATTGCAAAGATAAAAATCAAACTGCAGCGATTTCTCAGGGGATAGGACCGCCTGAATGTAGAGGTAGCATGTGTCATCATAATCATCTAACAAATGCCTTCTGCAATACAGGGGAAAAGTGCTCTCCACACGCCTTTCTAAATTCTTTAATTTGTATCGGTTGGCATTTTTGAAGATAACATTGTTCAGAGAAAAATATGCATTTTGCAACACAACAAAACTTTAAACTGTTTTAAACTGTTTTTTTTTTGTAAATCAGACACTTAATGATAAGAAAACCATGCTGACAATCAATAAACTTCGACGAGGCCTAAATAAAGACAGTAGTTAGACGTCCTTTTTCAACAGGGGGGCCCATCCTGCCACACGCACTGGACTTTTAACCTGCCAGCCTGTTTCACAAAATAGCAGAGAGGATAATGAGAATGTTAAAGCAATCTGCACACTGATCCTGCACAGGCACACAGATGTGGCACAGCGTCAAAAGTGGATTTACTCATTAAAAAAAAAAAGATTTAAAAAGAAACTTGGACAAAACTCCCCGATCTAATCTTTCATTTCATTAAAGCCAATCTCATCCCAGATTTAATCTGTCTATTTTCTGCACACGCAGATGGAAGAACTATCAAACCGAGAACCTAATTTGGGCTTCCTCCTCACAGACACTGCAGCATAAGGTCATTCAGTTGGCCTGCAGCGAGGCAGCTACACGTGTGTGGTTAATAAAGTACATTGAGACCGAGATAAGGGCCACAGGTGCTGATAACACCAGGAGGGAGAAGCAGAAAACATGATCCGTTTTCACTTTCTGCATAGTGTTTTGCTCTTACGCTTCCCCATGTGCGAGTAATGACGGCGAGGGACAATGTAGCTAATTAGGTTTATGTTAATAAAGGTTTCTGCCCAAGAAATATGAGTATTGTACCAGGAGGGCACTGTCATGTTCACATTTTCTCGTTAGAATTTATCTCCAAAGCCAGATGTTACTGAATCAGCAATGAAAATTAATTAGCTGGTTTGATGTGGCAGCATCATGCTCCTTCCAGACAGACCTGGCTTTTTATGGGCTGTGGGGGAAATTACTAAGAACTGATTGATCCTGAAGGACCCCTCTGTACATATGGCCAGGCAGACAGATGCACAAAAGCACACACAGATCTAGCTAATTCAAACATTTTACCCTCACGATGAACCTGACATTCTCGATTTTAGAACCATCTATAACAATAATTCTTGGTGTTCCGTGTTTCTAAATAAGCCTATGGTAACACCTGCCTGCCTCAGATACAAGTAAATAAAATTTTTATTAAAGTGGGGGTCACCATAGAGAGGATACATCAGACTGAGTTTTCTATTATAGCCCTCTCCCAACACATAACGCATCGGAATTACAAGTCGAAGAAAATTCTTGTCTATGTCTCCGGATCGTTTAGCTGCCTTCTCTTTTTTCTGTTCCCCGTATTCCTTTGTACTTGTCTCTTCCTTCACCCCCTTCTGTCTTTTCATCCTCCTCTCCGTCTCTTCTGTCTCCCTCTCTGAGTAAGTGAGTTTCATCTGGGGTGCTTGCTGGGCGAAATCACCTCAGGGCGAACACTTTATTATCTGTAGTCAAAGCGTCACCACAAATACCATTCTACACACACAAGTGTCACTTTCCATTTGTCTGCACTCGGGCTGCATTAGCAGAGCCTCGCCAGCCCAGAGCCTCATCTCAAACGCACCCAGCAGAAGAAATCTAACAGCGTGGGAAAGCGCCCGTCCTGCATTCCTGCCCCATTAACACCACTGGCAGCACCAGGCCAGACCTGCAAGCCTGTCAGAACGGAAAAAATATTATTATCATCGCTGACATCCCTGAACCTATCTCACGAAAGAGGAAAATAAAGACACGTTTCCGCGGACGTCTCACTGTCTTGATCTCGCATGTTTAATGCGGGAAGCGTTAGCTCGCGCAAAAGCGGGGCAGACAGAGGAGGTCCCCGTGCGTGTTAATTACAAATGATCTGGCCGAGAGTCTGGCAAAAACAACACCAGCGGGCAGTTAATGTCCGCATTGAGCCACTGAGGAATGCAGGCCAACAGCGGCCATGTCGGGCCTTTAGTAGGGCGCCCGTACACGAAGCCAACGCGGAAACTGGGGCAACATGTTTACCTCACACCACTCACTGTACTTCATAAACAAAACAGCCAGAGAAAAAAAAGAAGAGCTCCATGTTTGTTCCCATGACAGAAAGAGGCATTCATGAAAGAGGACAACTCTGAATATTTCACACAACCTTGTTTCAAGTTGTTCCAAGACGGTTCCATTTGCAAACACTTTGGGGCCTGGGTGAGCAGCGTTGTAGATAGCAAAGCGGGGGAAATATTCGTAAACATTGCTCTCTATTCAATCTATAGGTCCCGCCGAAGGGCTTAGTGGAGCGCAGGGTTCTGTATGGATGGGGGGATGTTGCCCCCGGCCTGCGGGCCGCCCGTGATGAGCCAGCCCTCAGGCCTGACCGGGCCACCCTCATTGTGCATACAGCATGGTCTAGAAAGCTGAGCTTTATCAGCAAATACCCCAAGTCAGCACAAGCAGCGGGGCGGTTATGCGTTGCGACTGGCACACCAGCCGATATTGTCATGTGCGATTAGGCCTGTGCTCATGAGCCTGTGAACTCATTCCTGTGGCATCAAAGTCAACCCCACCTCACACTCTTCCCCCATTCATGTCACTGCCTCTCTGCGGCCCGCTCCTCTTTCCTTCAGTTCGCTTTACCACGCACCCCGAGCGTACCTTTGGAAAAGCTCTGCTCTGCAGAGAGACACAGAGTGAAGATAAAACAACATGAAAGACGGGTTTGATTTTCAAAACAAATCTCGGCAGCCTAATTAACTCCGTGCAGAGGGGTCAGCCGCAAGTTCCAGCTAGCCAGTGCTGCTCGGGAGCTGCTGGTGCCAGTTGTTTTGTCTCGGCGCGTCTCCCCTCTGGATGACACGGCCGATACTCGGGAGGAGAGCGGGCCTCCCAGAAGAAAGGCTGTGACTGAGCCGAACCGTGAGGTCAGCTATGGGGAACAAAGGAGGTAACAGAGATTAAACTGTCGATGAGGCGGAGAGCTACTCGGACTGTAATGCCCTGAAAAAAACAGAAACACCATGATCTGAAACACTTATGCCAGGCCCTGCCTCCCTGTCCCATCTTTAAAAGAATATGCTACACTGCGATAGTATTTTCTCAAAGGGGCTATATGTAGAGCCAAGAGCCAGCAGCGTTCACAGCCATGCACAAACTCAAATGGACACAGCAACAACACAAACACGCACACACCACACACACACACCCATTTGGAATAAAAGAGCCCAGAGGAAGAGATAGCAGCGCATACAGAGATAAGAAAGGGAACCAGTGAAGAGAGGAGAGGTGGAGGAAAAAGGGGGGAAGAGTGGGAGAGACGAGGCGAGGCTGGAGGCGCCTGGGCAGGCCTGTCAGACCAGAGGAAGTGCTGGTGTGCAGGCCTGCAGGTAAATGGAAGAAGAAAGGTGCCTGCAGGCTGCCTGAGGCAAGCCTGGGCCCTTCTGTTCCATCATTTAGGAGACAAGTCCTCCACTGATTCTCAATTAATATTTAACACTGCACAGACAACAAGGCACTCCAGTGCAGTACACATGCCAAGGCGAGGAGGAGAGAAGATGAGCGCCGAGGAGAGGGGGTGAAGAGCATCATGGGATACATTAATGGATGCAATTTTAGTAAGATGAGACAATATTCTAGAAGATTCACAGCCATTTGAGTAGATTAAATGAAGAAGTTTATTGGCAACATTCTTTGTTTTTAATCACTGTCGGACGTGTGTCTCAATGGCAGTGTGATGACTGTGTGGAGTTAAGGCTTTTAAGTTCTGTAAAGAAGTGTTTCAGAATCACCCCAAAGTCAGCACTCATGTGTGACTCATGTTTCCATTGCCCTCGCACACCCACAAAACCACTTTACATATTGATGCTTCATTAGGGACCCGGGTAACAATGACGTGTGGTCGGTTTGCTCTCTCTTTGTTTTTCTGCCAAACTTTCTCCACTATTGGATCAGAATGATAGACCAAAGTAAGGAATTAAAAACCAGTAACCAGGGAAAAAATTGCCAGAAAGAAAGTCTAAAAAAGCGAGACTGTAGTGCAACATACACTCCATTCAAGACATCTTTTCCCATGATGGCCATGCATTTTTCAAAAATACCATGCAAAACCTAATTCTACACACATCCACAAAATATGCTGAGAACTTTGAGAGGAGAGAAGCCACAAAAACAGTTACAGCTTAAAATGAGGCAAAGTGATAACTGAAACACATAGTTTCCCTTTACAGCCACAATGTTGTTTGTATTGCATGCTTTATAGGCCAGAAACATTAACATTTGGGCTCTTACTGTCTGC